CCTTTGAATTGCTGCGAGAGGGTCGTGCACTTGTCGGCTTCGAGGGAGACGGTCGTCGAAATGGTTTCGCCCGAGAACGACGTCATCGTGATCGCTGTCGTGCTCAGGTCGCCGTTCGCTTGGGATTTAAAGTACCACGACGCATCGAACGGCGGCGCCTCCTTGCCGTTGATCGTCATTTTCAGCACGCCGTTCACTGCGTTGTTGGGCTGCACGTAGAGCCAGAACTCGGACGACCCGGCCTTGGCGCACACTTTGAGGCCGCCGGCGACGGGGCAGTCGACAAACTGCCACTTGATCTTGGGCCGGTCCGTGTACAAACCCGTGACCTTGTTGAACATCGGGAGGGACATGTCGAGGTCGCCGTGCGCGCACTCGGGGCATCGATCCGTGATCTGGCCGAGGACCACGTCGTTGCGCGTGCATTTCGGGTCCATGCACTGCACTTCGACGCACCGACCGCAGTGCCCGCCCGTGTTCCACTGGAAGTTGTTCATGGCCGCGTGGAACTTGGGCGCAATGTCCAGCGGTGCCATGAGCGCGCAGTTGCCGGTGAACGCGCTGTCGCCACCGTCGGGCGGCCCGTACGTCGTGCCTTCGCCCGTAAAGAACTCGGCGGCGGCCACCGCCACGAGACCCAAGAGCGTTGCTGTTCGCTGCATCGCCCTTTGCGTGGTTGACGGAAAAACAAACTCTGGTGCATCATGCTAATGGCGTCGCTCGTTCGGGCAAGCGTGTTCGAGAGAACCACGTGGTGCGTGGCGACCGTCATGCAATTCGACCTCGCACGCCCAGATGGTGATCCGTACAATGCAAGTGGCAGATCGAACGGCGATCCGGCGATCGAAGTATACGCCCGTCGCAGACGCCCGCAGTTTCGAACGCGCTTCAAGTCGCTGGCAAGCTCCGACGTGTACTACTCTAGGATGTATCGACACGTTGCGGGCTCGACGCAGTCGCTGCGCTCTCCAGTTGTTGCTTCCTTGCGCCTGCGAGCTAGTTGCGCGCAGAACGGTTGCGATGCAGGCACCCACTGAAACACATATCACCGATCTGCCAAGCACGCTCTGTACAGTAGAGGAGACGGTTTATAGTATGGAATCGCACTGCTGTGGAAGCCCCAATACGACTTGGTGGAGAGTCGAAGGGCTACCCGTGCAGTAGCCCTATCGTTGCCCACAGCGTATCCATGAGCGTCCATGGTGTCGCTTATGGCGGGTTCCAACGGCATCTTGGCTGCGATCGCCATGCGACTGTCCGGCATCTGCGAAAAGGGCAAAGTCGCCAGTCGCAGCAAGTACCATGTACAGCTGAAGCGAGATCGGGTCGGGACCACCAACGGACGAGATCTTTCGAGACCGCTGAGACCATATCAGCACGCTGGCGGCGCACGGTACCCAAATACTCTGGCTGGCGTGCCCTGCTTCTATCATTTTTGCTACAAGACAGCAGTCGTATTGAGAGCGTCTTTCCTACTCCTTGTGGAGCTTGAACTTTTTGCGTGTATCGTCGAATTGCGTCATCTTTTGGTCGCTGCCAATGACGCCGACACGGCCGTCGACGGTCGCAGGCGACGCAAAGATGCTCGTCTTCTTGATCGACGACATGGCGCCGAGCACGCGCTTCTTGCCCTGCTTCTGCGTAAACTTGGCCCAGTCGTTCTTCTTGGTGTTGCGCTCGGCCTCGATCGACTTTTGCCGGTTGAGCGACTTGATGGCCTTGATGCTAATGTGTGTAGAAACGAGCATGAGAAGTGCGATACGGGATGCGGTTACCGCTTGCGCTTGCGCTCCTTCTCGGCCTCCGAGTCGGTCGGCAGAATGGCCAAGTGCGCAGGAATCGCAATTAGCTTGTTGTCGTCGGCCTTGTCTTGCGGCTTGGTCGTCGCCTTGGGCTCTGGCAGCGGTGTCAGGTAGGCAAATGGGACTTCCTCCGAGTTGCCGTAGCCCTCAAAGAGGATAACGCAGCCGTGCTCGGTGAGCGACGTGATCTTGCCCGGATAGTACTTGTTGTCGGCGTAGTACTTGGCCTGCGGTCGTAAGCGGGGTGAGACGCGTTGCGATCGAGAGAGTGCTGGCAATGGTAGTACCTGGCAGGCAAAACCGACTTCCACCGTCGATGCATCGACGGGCGGGAGGCCATTGGCGTCGATGGCTCGGAGTGCGTTCGCAGTCACGCGATGCTTCTGGTTAGAGCCCATGATGTGCACGCCAATGTCGGCAGCGATGTCTTCCACCACAGCTAGAAGGTGCGAGTCCAATGTGAGATCGATGGAGAGTGGTCGCGCTACCTGGGCACCACACGGACTGGATCTGTGCTTCCACGATCGAGCCAACGGGGAATGGCGACGCATGTGCCGCGTCCTGCGGCTGCTTGTGCGCGAGCATGTCGGTCGTGAGCTTGATGACCTCTTTGAGGTCGCCCGCGATGCCCAAGAGCTCTTCGTTCTTAGGGTCAGAAGTCAAGAGGAGCTCAATGGTCTCGAGCTGCCCATTGAACGTCACTAACCTTTCTTGCAGCTCGGCTACGCTCGTGTCGTCCGCGGTTCCGTCCATTGCCGTCCAATTCGGGGTTGTCGAGCTGGCAGGAAGCTTGTTGTTTGTATATCATAGTTACAATAAGATACGTAAATAGTCTGACCTTTAAATGGTGTATCGAGAAATTAACACGCCACGATCTTTTCGATAGTGAATTCGCTTGACTTCGAGCAAACCAAACCCAGAAGAGCAAGCAGCATGAGTGTGAGCGTGCCACCGAGTAACAACGAGACGGCGATCCGCCGGGAGCTGCCGCTGGTCCTCCGCGTTCTCGGGAAGCGCTTCGATCCGAAGGCTCCCGTCAAGATTGATGGGCCGGCCGAGAAGGCCGTGGCCGACCGCCACTTCCGCATTGGCCGCGAGCGCGCCTTCTACGGGGTCGTCGCTGGCGGCGTCGTTGGCTTTGGTGCATGGCGCCTCACGAAGTCGCCCCGCAACCTCTTGGGCGCCTTCATGACAGGTACACAAGCCCTGCCATACGATATTGTCGCCGATCGGCATGCGGCTAGGTGCTGGGGCCGTCGTTGGCGCCGTCTATGGCATTGGCTCGATCCGCGAAGAGTTCTTCCTCGACCTCATGTCGATCCCAAACGAGCAATCCGAGTTTGCGCGCAACTGCCGTGACGTGTACGACCAGTGGTCTCCTTTATCTGCTCACATTGTGCATTCGTAGTCTCCAGCGCGAGATGCCCGATAGCATCATCCTCAAGGAGGTGCATCGCCGCATGGGCATACTTGGCGAAAACCCCAACGCGCTTCAGTGCGTCGTCTCATAGCCACTGTGTATGTCAGAGCTCACGCGACCGTGTAGAAGTGCATGGGACGAGGCGGTGCAGCCAAAGGAAGCGGCTCCAGCGTCGACCCGCTCGTTGCCGCCGCTTCCTCCAGTGCCGGAAGCCATCGACGACGCGTCGTGGTCCTCGACGCCCTCCAAGAATGTGTTTGGCTCGTTCATGGGTGCCAAGACGACCGAGGCACCCCATTCATCTGCTGCCAAGGTGCCGACCACGGCCTACGACCCGTGGGACGAGGCTACACCGACGCCGACGGTCCCTCGTACCTCGTGGGATGAAATTCGACGCCAAGCCAAGGAGAAGTCGCACTAACTACTGTGCCACGATGCATTCATTGTAAGTACTAGTACAAATTACTATAGTACGTACATGCACAGTAGTGGCCACTGCTTTGTTGAAAATACGTTTGGTGTGTCTGAGCTCCGGATATGATAACTAGATGCAGCATCGGGCGTCCAAGAGGCTCGATGGACGCTGCAAGATAGAAGGCAAACCGAGGCAATCAATGCGATGTAGGCTTGTATAGGTGTCTCCCGACGACCCGTTGAGCAAATGAAGAAGGAGATCCCTAGTCACTTCGTGTGCAAAGTCTTTGCGATGTAGATATCGCGAAGCACGGTCACATAGAGTGCTACTTCGTCCCGCAGTTTGTGGCAAGTGCACATTGCTGCGAGTCCGTCGTTGGGCGCATCAACCGACCGGTATACAGCAGTCTCTACAGAGAAAGATGATGGTTGACAGGAAAATTGCGCTAGGCAACGATTCTGGATGACTCCAAAAAGCATTTCTCTGTGGTCTAGAACCATCTCGTGGTCAGCTGGCGGCTCATGCTTCACCGTGTGTGTCTCCTTGCCATCAGCCTCCATGCTCTTGGCCGTTGGAGCCAAGGCAAGCACCAATGCAAGCTGCCATACCGCCTTGCTGTGGTGACTTTGCCGTTGGCACTATAAAAAGTGGCAGATGCCGCCTCATCCGGATATGTATCCGGCGCTGGGGCCGGCGACCACAAACAACATTCGCAATGGTACGTAGCATGGCAGCGGCAAGAAGGCGACGGCTCATGCGTCGCATGTAGCTCTTCTACTCGTTCTTCAAGACGCTCGTGGGCAAGGAGGTGGCCGTCGAGCTCAAGAACGACGTCGCGCTCGTGGGCACGCTCCACTCGGTGGACCAGTACTTGAATTTCAAGCTCGTCGACGTGACGGTCGTCGAGGAGCACAAGTACCCGCAGCTGGTTTGTGCCTCAGCCCAAACCCATGGCCTCATACGTGTCGGCAGATGAACATGAAGAACTGCTTCATCCGCGGTTCGGTCGTGCGCTACATTCAGATCGCCAAGGCCGACGTCGACACGGAGCTGCTACAGGACGCGGCGCGCCGGGAGGCGAGCGCAAATAAGTCGGGCGCCAAGAAGTGAGCGTCCGGGTGATTCCCAGCCGTGATAATAAAACCGACAATTTGACCATGTCGCTGCATCTGCTTGGTGCCACGCGCGGTCGCCTGCATGAGGCTGCGAGCCACTGCACGAAACCACGCTGTGGTACGCCACATAAAATACTTAGCCCGCAGGCATCAACTACCACCAGAGCTTTCCTGGCAGGTACTTGTCGATGAGCGACTGGTAGTAGGGCCAGAGCGCGGTCACGTCCGGGCGCTTGTCGGCCTTGGTGTACAAGTCAAACTTGTTGAACTCGAGGACCCATTCGAGGAGGTCCCAGTCGTCGTCGGCCATGAATTGCTGGTACTCACCCTTGTTGTGCCATGGATAGCACGAGTGGTACCGGATCATCGCGAGGCCTTCTTCCGGGATCGCCGCCTTGTTGAAGACGAGCATTTGGTACATGTATTCGTCGTGGCCCCATGCGAATTTGAGGTGCGCGAGGCCGCAGCCCGGCGCGTAGATGCCATTCGGCGTGTTGAACTTTGGGTTCTGCATGTCTGGGTTCAACGCGTTAAAGTACGGGAACACCGTCGAGTCGGGGATCGCACATCCCACGACCCACGTGTCGCCGCCGAGAGCCCACTGGTCGCCATCGGCCGTGCCCTGCTGGCCGTCACAGGGCTGACCCCAAAGATACTGGATCTTGCCCATGTCATGGAGAAGGCCCACGAGCTGGAACCAGTCGGGGTGCCCCGCCGCGCGAATGGCCTCGGCCGTCTGCAGCATGTGCTCCAAGTTGGGCAGCGACGAGTCGGGGTCAGACGAGTCGACGTAACCTGGTTCAAGAGGCTTAGCGCTGGCAAGGTGCAAGCGGCTACGCACCTTTGAGCGACTCGAAGGCCTCCCACACCGTCATTTGCGCGCGGTCAAACGCACCCCAGTACGCTTGCATCTTGTCATGAAAGGCCACGGTCTGGTGCGACCGCATGAGGCGGTAGTGGCGCTCGACGACGGCCTGGCGGTCGCTGTCCTTGTAGTTGCGGAACTCGTCGACGGCCTTCCCGGGCGCCGCAGCCTCGGTCTTGTCCATGATCACGACGTTGCTGCTGCGGTTGGCTGGTGTAATCGTGAGCGATGGCATCTCGGGCAGGTGCTGGACTGTCGCTGGCAATGTGAAGGTTGAACATCGTTCCACCTGGGTTAAACAACAGCCTGTCAAGTCAACATGCGTTGGTTTCACTGTTTTAAACCGACTCGCACTCACATTATCTAGCTTAATGTATACCTCGTTGTGTTTAAAACATACCTTGAAGTTGGCGTGGCCCGGAGAAGGTGTTTGAAACACGCTGCATTTTCTTCGAAAAGAATTTGGTTGGCGTTGCGTATTTTTAGCAGCAGCGAGTGGTCGCCATCTACGAAGCGACCCGTCGTATGTGTACCCTGCGTTGCAGTACATACAGCAGTGCAGCAATGCGTCCACAGACACTGCCATCCCTCGGCCTCGCCTGAATATTTGTGCTGTCCAGCACAGTGCCCAAATGAATATGAAAGTATTCATTTATAGAGTGTATACTGTATCAGAGGTTCTGGGACGACGTATTGTTGCTGCGCCTTCGCGTTTAACGTCGGCGAAAGAGTCTTACGTGTTGACACAGTGTCGACTACAGTATGTAGCGAGGGGACGGATGCCTATGAATGATGCTCCACAGCAGGTGCTGACCGAAGAGAGGTGCCTCAAAACAGTGTTGTACTCGAATACAGTGTCTCGAAGCCAGTGCTTTCCTCCAAGACAGTGTTTCGAATTGACACGCTATTCTGGTTGGCCAATCAAACGCGCGGCTTCTAAAAGTAGCGCGCGCTCATCTCGCAAACACTAAGTTTGAGGACGCGATACGGGGATGACGACTCGCGACGGCAACTTTGACGAGCCAGCCTTCGTCACGATCGGTGACCCGTACAAGGACCCCGCGGAGCCCAAGGTCCACTTCATCGCGGGCCGGAAGCAGTTTCTCACGACGGGCCCCAAGCCCGGGCAAACCGGGTCGAATTGGGGCCCCGGGCCACGCAAGTTTATCGGGCTCGATGTAAACGAGATGGCTGTAGCAATGCGCAGCTCTCACATCTGTGCTCTAGGGACAATACCAAGAGCGCTACAAGGAAGAGAACAAGGCGCGGCTGGAAAACACCAAAAAGCACTTGAAACCGAGCGGATTTACCTACTCGTCCCACTCCAAGAAGAGGTACGACGGCCACCCACCCTTCTTGCCTCAATAAGATAATCCTCGGTAGCTGCGGACCTGGTGACTACTTTGGCTCGTTCTACGACCCGAAGAACCAAGAAAGTGTCGAGCCGCCGCCACCGGTACCCCGACCCAACCCCAAAGAACGCAACTTTGAAGTACATCGCATGCATTTTGCACGAGCTCACATAAGCATTGTAGCGACGCAACGTGTTAACATCACCCACGAAGAAAGGGACACTGGGCTACACCGGCACGCTCATCGGCGCCAAGGTGATTCCGGCCATGCCCGCCGAGTTCGAGTCGGTGCGCCAAGCAGAGCGGGTACATTCACAGCAACAGACTCTCCACGCGGCAGCACTATACGATAGGAAGCGATGAAGCGACACAAGGAGAAGCTGGGGGACCGCAAGGCGTTCAAGTCCATTTCGCACCCGGTGGATTACTTTGATACTAACGACCACGTCGCGGCGTCCCGAGTGTTTGAGTGGGACGAAGACTGCAAGAAGCGCCCACCCGAGAAGGAAGAGCTCATGAACCCAAAGGAGCGGGCGGTGGCGCACGCGCCAACGTTCAAGTCATGGCGGCCAAGCCACGCAGGAAAGGAAGGCGAAGCCGGGTACAGCCCCCGCATGTTGCAGTGACGCGTGCGAGTTGATCCCTGGTAGTGTCTTTGACAAGTTTCCCGAGCGGCTGCCCGACCCGTACGACGAGCGCGTCGTGAACCGCGCGATGCTTCCAAACCGAAGAAACCCCGTCGAGATTGCAACCCAAGGTCTCTCGGACAGCATTCGCGAGCGGAAGAGCTTCAAGCCCACGAGCTGTCCAAAGAAGAAGTTCACGACGGGCACCGTGCTCCTCGGCATCCACAAGCACAAGTTGTAGTGACTAGGCTTAATGCGTTTTGTATCATATCGTATACGACGTCAGCGTCGCAGCATACCGCTCGAGCCGCGCTGGGCGCAAGTGCTGCGCAACAATCTGGAGGGATTGAAGCGTGCCTACGTACGTACATGAGCCAAGGTTGGACTAGCAGACTGTCGACCTGTCTCGGACGAGTACTCGCATGTCAACCGCCCTTTCAAAACGCGGCGGGTCGTGCTTCCCGGATGCATCGCGAACGTCAAGACACCCGGCACCCACAAAGCCGAGACGAGCTTGGTCGCGCCGGTCTTGCGCTGGCCGCCACCGTGCCCAACGACGGCATGGTAGTAGCTTGTCTGTCGACAAGGTGTTCGAAGCACGAAGCTCACAAAGCCCGGCGCGTCCAGTGCAGCGATGTCGGATACGATGGCGGGCGACAGGCTGGAGAAGGTTCGAATCTCAAACGGCTCCGTGTCGGTCCCCACCTGCGAGCAGATATACGAGTAAGCACATGACCATTCCGTATGTAAACAAACGCTGCGGGTGGCTGGCAATGAAGGTGAAGGAGTTTCGAGTACAAGGCGACACGGCAGCGTCACTTGCAGCTGGCATACTCGCTGACGGATGTCGTAGAAGGCGAGCTACGCGTGGCGTTGATAGAACGCCTTTGGTTTTTAGTCACACCTCGGCACGCACAACGTCCGACGATGCCTCGATGCTGCGGGGTACAGAGGGAAAGAGCTCGTGCTTGTGCAAGAAGAAGGTGACGCGCTCGATGTGAAAGCAGTCGACCATGCCGTCGAGCCGAGACGGCAGGCCGAGCTGCAGCTGACACGACTTGTCGGTCGATGCAACGTCGCACTGATAGACGTCACCCCTACAGTACAGACGCCGTCAGTATCAAGTTCGTGCGAGATGCCGCACATTTTTGTCATCGCGTGCTTGTTCGCCACCGATACGGTGGTGAGGTCGCCGATCGTCTTGTGGTACAGATGCTGCCGGAGCGACCGTCCTTTGACAGACAAGGACAGAGTCGAGTAGAGCGCTCGCGCGTGACTTGTCGTGTGCAACAGCATCGGCGCAGGCTGGACGCGTCGGCAGTCAAACGTCAACACGACCATAGATGCACCGGCATAGCAAGGCGTACTCATGCCGTGGAGTGATCGCTCTGGCTCAATGGGCCCGAGCTCGACCCAGCTCGTTTCGACGCGTGGTGGCACACGGACGTCGTCGCTGCGGCGAATGGCGTGGCTCTGTGCTTCTTGGGCGCAGGTGTCGATGGCGAGGCAGGCCTCGCGCCGCAGCCAGTTGCCGAGGCCTAGCCCGCATTGGATCTGCCTCCAGCGATATACCTGTGCCCGGAGCATCTCTCGGTGCTGCTTGGAGGCGCGGCCCACGTACACGAGGCTGTCTCCATCGAGGAACGCATAGACGCGGACCCAGACCGCGCCGGGAAGGGCCATCGCTCGTCGCTCCACGTGTCGGCCGTGACGCCGGTGTTTCATTGGCTCTCGTGGTATCTTGATATTTGTATCTCATACGCTTCGCCAATGAGACGGCACCACGAGGTCGATTGCGATTTACAAATCGGCGGGAACCAGAAAATAAAATCCACGCAAAAGAATGTTACATACAGTTTTCAAGTAGAGTGTAGGTATTATCCAAAGAATTACTCGGCGGTGCAGAGTGTATGTCGCGCGCAATACCCGAGCGTGGCACTCGAACGGAAATAGTGTGACAATGTGATGGCCACGCGCAGGACGTTTGACTACGAGGCCGCAGAAGCTAGCTCCATTTACACGACCAAGCCGAATTCGACTGCCCTCGGGTAGTGGATATTTTATCGATCGCGACCGCCAGATCGGATCTCGCCGGTCGATTCGCCATCCTCCAAAGATCGCAATAGTACATTTCCGCAAGATCGCAGTCCCCACAGCACTGCGTGCGAGAGGCGCATCGCTGGTGCTGCATGTACAGTGTAGTACGAGTCCATCGTGCGTTGGAACGAACTCTCCTTGCCATCGTATCGTGCTGCAAGGAGGCTGGCTTGCTATTATTACCGTGTATGTTCACGCTGCCATCTCTGCTTGGGCTACAGCCGACACGGGTGCTATTCTCTTTGATGGACGCACGCTAAGCTTAGTAGTATAGTCATCTCGTCGTCAGCGCATCCGCCAAACGATCCAAATTCGAATGCTGTCTCCCTCACACTAATTACGTACGTTCGAATCGCACCAAATTTCGACATTTCCGCATTGGGCAGTGCGAGGGACCGTAAGCGCCATAGGAGACCCACGCAGTGAGCCGAGTCGAAGTCGCCCGGACATGATGAAGCTCAAGGAAGCGTGCAAGGAGATGGATCTGCCCGACATGGTCGCGACCGCGCGCTCGCGCCTCGGCTACGCGCAGCTGAGCCACATCACGGCCGACACGTCGCCAGGCAGCGACTCGGGCATGGACGTCGACGAGCTTAAGGGCTGGGAGGACATGCTCACGGTCGGGTCGTCAAAGGGCCCGTCGCCGCATCCGATCGCGATCTTTTGCTCGGTCTTTAGTCTCTTTGGCTTCTTCTTCCTCCTCTTTCTCGGCTCGACGGTCGCGTCCAACTCGATCTACATCAAGGTCAAGCCGCCGCATGGCCATGAAAAGGCGTCGCTCGCCGCCAACATCTTTCTCGCGGCCGCGCTGTACCTCTTTGTCTTTATCGGCAGCGTCGTTTCGCTCCTGCGGGCAAGGACGGCCATGAAGGTCTACCAACTCTCGCTCGACATCCACGCCGACAAGTAACCACTTCCATGCCTAGACGAAGTTAGAGTTTTCTTGTAATATCTAGTGGTCTATTATATTATATGCAATATTGTGCTTTTCCCTAAAATGCAAAGTCGCCACGGGCACCGTGCAAACTCGTGCGGGTGCTGAAGCGCCGGACCATCTGCAGCGTCTCGCGCTCCGTCACGTCGTCCATCGACGATGCCCGGCGGGTGCGCGCCCGGCGAGTGTTTGCGTGCTGGAACACATTGCCGACGGTCGGCGCCCGGACGACGCGGGGCGGCAGGCCGCGCTCTTGACGCTGCGCTTCATACGGCGAGTCGACGCTACTGGCCGCGAGGTCCATCTGAAGCGCCATCGAGCCGCGGCTTGCGTGCCGGTCGAACGAGATGCGGGCTTTCGAGAGCGACGTGTCCGTGGCCATGAAGCCTTGGGCCATGACCGAGTCGGCGTCATAGCTGAACGCAGTCCCGCGCAGGTGGCGTGCTGACGCCGACTTGAAGCTTGGCGACCCGGAATTGGCCAAGTTCTTTTCGCCGCGGAGCTCTTGCTCAATGACATCGTTCTCGGTCGTCGACGCTGCTTGCAGCCGCTTGAGCTCGGCCAGGCAAAACTGCGGTGGCGGTGGGTACGCCAGCAGTTGGTTGGCGACCTGCTGCCACTTGAAGCAGTGGACCTCCTGCGCCAAATGCGTATACGTGGGCGAAAATGCGCGCTGGTAGCCCTTCCAAAAGAAGTCGCGCGAGAGCGCTGCAAAGAGCACGAGCGGAAAGCTCAGCCAAAAGCCAGGCGAGCACACAACGAGGTGGAAGGCGCCGCGCCAGTACAGGGAGAACGTCCCGGTCGACACGATAAAGCCGACGACGGGCCAAAACCCGGCCGAGACTGTAAACAGAAGGACGTGCCAGCCCGTAATGAGGTACTGGTGCAGCGCGAGCTTGAGCGTGACGACGACAATCACAATGGTAAACGCAGCCGCGCCAAGGACCCACATGGGCGTCGTCGAGTGCTCGAGCTGGAGGCCGTAGACCGTAAAGAGGCAGATGACCATCGACTGCCAAAAGCACGAGAGGATCCAGCGCCACACGATGAGCGTGTTGAACTTGGTGTTGCTTTGGCCCATGCGGTAGAGGCGCGGGAAGCCTTCGCAAATGTAGTCGGGCAAGTCTTGGTCGAGCGCGCCCACGACGACGATCGGCAGCGCCGTGAAGAAGAGGTTGTAGCCTTGGAGGCCCCACTCGAGGAAGAACTTTTGGCCCGAGTAGCCCGTGAAGAACATGTACCAGTACTGCGTCAGGTTCATCATGACGTTCTTGTAGAAGATGTACAAGATGACGATCGACATGCGGTTGTAGTTCCAGCGCCCGTGGACAAACAGGAGGCGCTTCAGAAACCGGAATTGCGCGATCGCATAGTCGCTCGAGTTGGCGGCTTGCATGCCTTCTTGCCCCGAGATGCCGACGCCAATGTGCGCCGAGAGGATCATGCTCACGTCGTTGGCGCCGTCGCCGATCGCGAGCGTCCGGGCCGATGGGACGTTCGACTTGACGAGCTGCACGAGCTGCGCTTTTTGCGCCGGCGAGACGCGGCACGCAATCACTGCCGCGCACTGCTGCGCGACCGCCAAGAGCAGCAGTGGGCAATGCAAAAGCGCCAACTCGAGTGTCTCGCCGTCCATGACAAGCCCGAGGTCCGTGGCAGAGCCGTCGTCAAGGACCGGGACGTGGTTGAACGCCTCGAGCTTGGAGCGGATCGACGTAATGTCCGGGTGGTCGTCGGCGCCAATGACGACGAGCTCCATCTCCATGTGCAGAAGCTGGCACGCAAAGCCAATGTTGATGGCGGTTTCTTGCTTGTCGCCGGTGAGCATCCACACCTTGATCGAGGCTTCGCGCAGCTTGGCGATCGTGTCCGGGACCCCCTCTTGGAGCTTGTCTTCGATGGCCGTCGCGCCGAGAATCTCAAGGTCCGTCTCCATCTCTTCCATGAGCAGATCGATCGCGTTCGGCTCGCCTTCCCGCCGCCGCTCAATCTCGCGCATGTCGTTGCACGCGCCGCGGTACTTGACCGACCTAGTCGTCGCGGCGTGTGAGCACATAAGGTATATACGGTCCTCAGCCTACCACTCGGCGTAAAATGCTTCGTCGATCGGCGCCGATGCAATCACTAGTGTCCGGAGCCCTTCCGACGCAAACATCTCCATGTGCTCCAACGTCTTCTTGCGAACGAGGGCGGTCGATGCGTTGGTCGTGTCCTACTCGGACAATGTGTCCATTTTTGTGTAGACAAGACACGCCGTACCGAGAGGCGTTCGTAAATGACCGTGTCGGCACCTTTGCAGAGCAGCACGAGCTTGCCGTTCGGGCCGCGCGCGATGACCGACATGCGCTTCCGCGTCGAGTTGAATTCGAGCACGTCGAGCACTTTGTACGACACGATGCCGCGTGACGCGTCCTTGTCATCGCCGAGGTAGTCAAGCTTCTCAATGACGGCCTCGCCGGGTGCGCGCGCAAAGAACTTGAAGCCAAAGCAGGCGGCTGCCGCCACCAGCGCCTGTTCGTCCGGCGACGACGCCGACAGCCGAAGCGATCCGTCCGCGCTCGTCTCGGGCATGACCGTGTGACAGACCGCAAGGTGCTCAAAGAACGGCGATAGCGTCACCGGGTCGGCGACGAAGAGCGCGTCATCCTGAAAGTTGACAAACGGCGCGGTGACCGAGCGGTGCTGGCTCAAGTCGACGGCCACCGCTTCGTCGCACTTGCCTTGGCGGCGCTTGGCGGCGAGCCCGACCTCGGTATCGCCGAGCCCGTACGCAACGCCGCGGATCGAGCACTTGCGGAACTCCATGATGTTGCACGTGAGCGTGCCCGTCTTGTCGGAGAAGACATAGTCGACTTGGCCGAGCTCTTCGTTGAGCGACATGGTGCGCACTTGGCACGGCGTGTCCGACTCGGCGTGGTACATCTTGAGGTCGTTGTTCATAAAGTAGGCTTGGACAAACTTGACACTTGTCATACTCACGTAGAGCGAGACCGGAATGAACGAGTTGAGCAGCAGAAAAAAATACAAAAAGAGCAGGAAAAAATTGGCCACCGGGTTGGCGACCGTGACGTCCCGCGACGAAAAGTAGAGGTACCTACGCCGTCAATTGGGACCGTTCTTGGAGAGGCAAGGACCGTACCACGCCTTGTCGTTGGGCTTGTTGGAGAGGTACCGGCGGTTCCAGACGGTCGCGCCGATCGCGCCAAAGAGACAGAGCACCACCATGAGCCCGCAAATGTAGAGGATCTGCGTGTTGAGCCGCCGCTCCATGTTGCTCCACTTGACTGTCTTCTTGTTCTACTCGATGCACGATAAGATACATGCTAAGCTATGCGTACAAGACGACCTGTGACGCCATCATGATCTTGGTGTCCGGGCCCGTGTTGACGACGAGACCGTAAATGAACTCGGTGTTGCGCAGCGTGCAGCCGCGCAGCAAGATGGCGTTGACGCCAATGGTCTCTTGCACTCCGTTGCGGAGCGTGAGCGTGCCGCTGAAGCGATGGATCGAGTTGTTGGGCTGCTCGCAGAGCTACGACATCACCGATAAGATGAGAGAAGCATGCTGATGCGTGCTGCCTACCACGCGGCCCTCGAGGTCGGCGAGGTGCGAGTCGTCCTGAACCGTGGTGTACGTGCACTCGAGGCCCTGCCGGAGCTTGAGGTTCGTCTCGCCGTCCAAGCTCTTGGTTTCGACGTAGCAAATGCCGGCGGGGTGGGCCGGGTCGGGTTCAAACGCGCCGAGAATCACGACGTCCGCCGGAATCACTTCGCGGTTGCACACCTGCGAGCGCGTGAATATAGGGTGTCATAGAAGTCGGATACCTTGATGATATTGCCGACGCGAATCTCTTCCGACGTACAGCCTTCGAACGCCATCTTCGAGCGGTTGTAGCGTTGCACGGGCGCAAAGTTCGTCGTGTCGTCGGCGACGTGGCGGCGGTAGTCTTCCATGGCGGCGAAGGCCATGTCGATGGTCACAATTACAATGAGCGCGGGCAGCGAGGCCGGAAAGCCGCCCGTGTTGGAGATGGGCTTGATGCATTGCATGACCGAGATGACGAGGAAGTAAAAGTTGGCGAGCTTGCTGAACTCGTACCAAAGGATCTTGGGCAGAAAGTTGAGCGGCGTGTAGCGCGACGTCACGATCGTGTTGCTGCAATAGCCCGCGTTCGCCGACTCGTCGTTGAGCTGGACTGTGCGGAAGGCCTCGGCGTCGTCGGTCGGCGGCTGATGCGGCGACATCATCATCTGGTACGGCGACGTCGGCTCCACGTTCACTTGCACGCGCAGCGGGTCCTCGGTCATGCTAATGCGAACCCCGCAGCCGTCGTCGGTAGTGGTGGGACGCGTTGCACTGAATGCGGTCCGAAACTACTCGTCGTGTTTCTGAACCGAATTGAGTTGCCGCGGCCTACAAAGTCCAAGTCGTCGATTTAAAAAAAGACGATGGAATCCAACCGCATTGAGTTTGAGTTTGTCGCACGGCGTTTAAATTTGACGAAACATTTCCCGGCATAGCGCTTAGTTCTACTATAGTCGACTGCCGTCTACTCGTCGACTAAGCCATCATTGCACGAACAAACCTGCACGAACCCGTTCGATTTCCTGCGTCACCAATCGTGCTGCAGTAGCTCTCGATCAATGCAACACTCGCTGAGGTACGTGCGGTGAAGTCCAGTATCTCTAGCAAGTCGGCGAGAAGGCCGTTGTAGTTCTGAGGGAAGAGACACTCACGTTATGGTGATGATGACGGTGGCAAGTCAGTAGAAATGCAGCAGCACGCATCTGCCACCATGCGCCACTAGCGGCATCCACACTGGCCTCGTCGACGGACGTGTGAGATCCTTGGGAACCGAGTAGGTATGTATAATTATGTGGCCGCGGACTGCTGGACTCGAACTCCGGCCAGCGTCTTTATCGACTACTAGTACATATCTCCTGCACTGTATTCCTTGGACCAGTCTCTGTACCAGTACCCAGTGTACCCGGTACGACGGGCCGGCTTCCGTTGGCGTCGCTTGAAGCGTCTTGGAAGAAGAAGATGAGGCTCGGTGATTACTATGACGCCATGGCAACGACTGTCGGCAGCATCGGCTTGCCGTGAATAATCATGCACAGCGGTGGGACCGTTGACGCCGTGCTCTGACAAGCAAGCCGCCTGTACGAGTGGCTCGGGCGCTCTGTCCCCGGCTCTCTCTTCTGGGTTGTTCGGGCGGGTGTCACGGCCTGTTTTTTAGATAATCCTTGGACCATATGCTGCGCTTGTGCGAAGCACAGATGGCCAGCGTTGTAGCATTCGGCAATTGCGTGCGATGCCCAACAGCAGCATGCGCCCCAAAGGCATGACCAACCCGCAGTCCGAGTACGCCAAGCGCCTGCACAAGATGGCGCGCTCGGACGCGATCTCGATCGACCAGCAGCGCCGGTACGCGGCCGCGCTCAACGCCAAGGCCAGCGCGCTCCTCTCGCCGCCGCCGCTCGTCTTGACGCACGAAGCCGGCCGCGTCCAGGTCTACGAAGGCGTGTGCCCCATCGAGGGCACGCTCGTCGTGAAGGGCTCGACGACCATTGACGGCCTCCTCCTCGACAACCTCGCCAAGCTCGAGAAGCGCAGCGAGAGCAGCCTCGAGTTCAAAAAGTTCATGTACGACCTCTTCGGCCCCTTCTTCTGCCACGGCATCAACATGACGCTCGCCGAGCCGCCGTCGTCGGCCAATGACCGCCCGTCGAGCCACGCGCCGACGGACCGCGTCCACGTGCATTGGCTCTCGCTCTTTGAAGACCCGTCGCAGCCCAAGCTCCAGCCGTTCGACATGGTCTTTGCTTCCAAGACCAATCTCTACAGCATCCGCGACGGCGACTACGCTGCGCACAGCGGCCATGCGCTTCCGGACGTCGGCACGCTCACGTGGGACTCGTTCCCGAACCTCGCGTCCTTCCGCGAAGTCGACACGGGCTGCCGGCGCCTGCATCTGTACAAGAGCGGGTTCGTCCTCGAGCGCACGCCCAACGTTGCGCGCTGTCGCCTCTCGCTCGTCCTCTCCTTTCGCGAGCCATATGTGCCCGAGTGGACCAAGCAGCTCCTCGCGCATTTACATGCGTTTGCGAATCCATCGGACCTCGTGAGCCTCGTGCCAGCGTCGCTCTGGTCGTACAACGAATATTGCTTTGTGTGTTTCAAGTCGTTCCGGTTCTTCCGCCGCCGCCACCACTGCCGTCTCTGCGGCAACGCTGTCTGCTCCAAGTGCTCGTTCACCACGTCCGTGGCCGTCGCGAAAGACGCCCACGTCCGGGAGCACAAGGACGTGCGGTCGTGCGTCAAGTGCGCGCCCAAGGCCAAGGTCAACGCGAGCACGACCGACGCGCGATTGACCGCGTCGGCGTCCGCCGTCAACTCGATGCGCCGGTCGGCGTCGACGACGCGCGCGGCCCACCTCAAGACCGCAGCCTCCGACAATGCGCTCCTCTCGCGTCTCTCGGTCGACGCACCGCGATCGCAGCTGCACAAAGCGAGCTCCGTCGACGAAGACGACCCGTTCCTCGTCATGCTGGACGAAGCCCGGCCGCGCCTCTCGCACCGTAACTCGGACCCGACCGTCTTCTTGGCGGAGGCGCGGGGCAGTCCCAAGCCGCTCGTGCAGGTCGAGCGGCGGTCGCGTGGCATGCCGCGGAGTGTCGCGTCGCACCTCGTCAACTCGAGCCCTGCGGCGTACCACCGCCGCGACCGCGTCTCCAAGTCGGACGAGTTTACGTACAACCAAGGGTTCACAGCGCGGAGCATCGACCCGCGCCCGCCGCACCATACGGAGCGCAAGCGCGCGCCACGCAGCCAAGACGGTGCGCCGACGAGCAGCGACGGCGTCCCGCCGCCTTCGTCGCACCACCGTCGGCGGCAGAGCCCGTCCGTCCGACGTGGCATCGTGTCACCGCCGTAGCCAGCTGCCACGGAGATTCATTATTTAATATACCAACGACATTGCTGCATCAACGAAGAAGGGCGGACCAGTCACTGATGATAGATCGCCATCGTCGGCTGCTTGAAGTTGGTCGCCGCGCACGGCTGCGATCCCGTGACTTGCATCAGTGCCATTTCGCTGCTGTGGCATCATCTGAGTACAGTGTGTCACCAGCCCCCGCCATGGCGCCAGCGACGTCGTCAGATCACCGCGCTGCGCGTGCTCGTTGGATCTGGCGAGACTCTTCTTGTCATGGACGACATGGGTGCATGTATACCCGGCAGACAGCCTCGTCATCCGGCAGACGTAGCAGCTGGACGACTGCAACGGCTGGCGGCGAGTCCGAATATCATCCGGATGGTCATGGCGTTGGGTCGGTTCGAAAGATCGTGAACCGCCGCCGGGACGATGAGCAAGCTCTCGCAGTGGGCGGAGGAAGACGACGCAGACGAAGACGAGAACATCCTGTGGGACGACTCGACGGAGCGCAAGTTGGCCGAGAACCATGGCGGCTTCCACCTCCGGCGCAAGAGCCAGACCGAGATGACGACGACGAGCTCCAAGAAACAGCCGCCGCCGCCGCCGACGCACTTGGAGGACCCGCCGCTCAAGATCACGCTCGCATCGAGTAGTGCGCAGGTCGTCAAGAAGATTGGACGCAAGACAAACAAGTTTGGTCTCGGGTCGCCGTCGGCGCCGACGACGAAGCTCAAGCTACAATATCGCACCAACGTGCCATCGCACGGCAGCGCCAAGCGTGGGACCAAAGCTGCTACATCAACCGTCGCGACGTCTGCATCGATGGTCTCATCGGGCCTCAGTGCGAGCTCGGTCTCGAGCACGGGCTCGATCGGCACGTCGATGGCCCAGCTGCTCAAGGCCGCCGAGAATCCCGAACAGGTCCGCCGCTTCCTCCTCGCCGAGGTCAAGCAGATGACCATTGAACGGCTCGTGGCCGATGCAAAACGATTTGCATACCTCGAAACCCTCCACGCAAAGACGACCTCGTCGTCGTCCGGATAGAACTAGACCCATCAACACGAAGCGACCCTGGTATACACAAATTAGCCGTGGCTATGTGGCCTCGAGGCGCCGGAGGGCCGACGCGGTGGCCTCGTAGACTGTAAAGGTGCAGCTGTGGGTGACGCCCGACTTGATCAAGCTAGGCACCGTGCCCTTGTACAGGCCCGCGATCCCTTCACGTCGCAAAATGTCGAGGCCGCAACGCCAAGACGAGGCGTACCTCGGGATCGCTGCGCCGTACGCGGCTGGGCGTGGAATGCCCTGCATCTGCATGCGCTTCTTGATCGTGTCGAGCGGGTACACGATGAGCTTGGAGACGAACCCTGCAATCGCACCGTTTCCAACCGCATGCAATACCGGATGCGTCGTCGAGAGGTCGGCGAGTGTCGAGTAGATGCCAAAGCTGAGGCCCATGTAGGGCGCAATCTGGAGCACGGTCGGGCTCAGGCCTTGGAAGAAGCCGCGCGGGCCCTGGGTAGCGTACATGTGGCTATGGGGCAGGTCATTTCCATGACGACGAGGCTGGCATGCTTCGTGCTCTGTACCTCGCAAACGACCGCATGTTGGGAAAGACTTTGGGGACGCCTTGGCTGGCAAGAACCGTTCGACATAGGTCAAGCGGGTACGTGGCCACGGTTGCAACAACGCCGGCGATCGCGCCGCTGCCGCTGTACCAGACCCATGACAGCGTGTGGTCGTGGCGTACGATTGCGTTTTGAAGCGATTGGTAGCAAGCAAATTGGATCGCAGCGTACGAGACCCAGAGGCCCGTAGCTGCAACGTTGCCGCGCCAGAAGGTGCGGACGCCCTCTTCGCCGTAAATGTGCGTCACGGCGCGGACGAGGCGCGTGCCGAGATCATGTGGCGTCGACGGCGCAGCGTGGACTTGGAAGCGGATCTTGAGCAGATCCAGAGGCGCGGCGAGGACACGCGTCGCGCCGCCCGCGACCGCGCCCGCGACAGCGCCTTCCCACACACTCGACGTCATGGAACGATGATGGACCTACTCGAGCTTGGCGTACGTCTTCTTCTTCTTCTGGGCTGGGACGCGGTCAAGATGCTTCGGGACGCGGAAGAGGACGGACGGAAGCAGGATGATGGCGATGCAGACGACGGCGACGACGAGGTTGGTCCAGAGCTCCTTCTCTTGCATCCGAAATCGCAGTCTGGGTTCAACAGCCCTTTGGGACCAGGCAACGGTTTTTTACTCCATTCCATACAAACGCCAAGATATATTAAACCGGCGCCAATTGTATTCCAAGGATCGCACCAGAACGGTCCCCTGAAATTTCTCGAACGCTCAGTCGTCGGCGTCCCGCAGCGCGTCCGCAGAGGCTCGCGGCAGCAGCACCGAGCGCCGAGCCTAGAGGCATCGCTTGTCACAAGCATGAGGAACATGGGCGCGTACATGCTTGCATTTGGGCTTGGCGTGGCGCGGCGAGGCCACCATGGCAGGTCGAACAGCGCCAGAGCCATCGACGACGCCAACATGGCCGCCAACGGCTGCGGCGTCGCCACGCAGCAGCTGCAAGTGGTGCTTCAATGGCAGTTGGTGCTCTCCTGGTGCTTCTTCCACGTGGCGGTACTGCACGCCGCTCCAGAGGTTCATGTTGCAGTGGCAGACGCGCCTTACAAGGCCGCCAAAGACACAGAGAGCGCAAACAAGGGCACAGAGGACCTCGCTCTGGATGTGCTGCGTCGTTGGTGCTGCCGCTGGCGTCCCCAGGAGCACAATCACATGCGTGGCAGGGTCTCGAATTTCGGTGCTGTCGTCCTTGGCGTGCAGCGTGACGGTCAACGCCGACAGTGGGGGCAGATCCAACGGTGCCGCCGCCGCCAGCTGCACCGCGACCGTCGGGTTTGCAGCGTCCAAGCGCACGTCGCCCGTGATGGGCACAAATGCTTTGTGTGGCGACGCCGGCGTAAATGGTCGTCCAACGTCGGCGGACGAGATCGTATAACGCACGGTGACCGACTCGGTGCAGAGCGGCGCGTTGTGCCGGTGGATCGCCAGCTCGATCGGATTCACGTCCGTCCAATTGGTCGACGCGACGTGCGTCACTGCAGACGCAAACGACACGTAATTGGTGCAAAAAGGAAGCGTCATCGTGACGTCGCGCGTCGCTCGCTGGTCGAGGTACGCAGCATCATCCAGTGTGTTGGCGCCGAGAAGCAGCGTGCCGAGGGTGCCGACCTCCGCCGAAACACCGATGCCTCTTGCCGTCGTATCGGTGACGACGCGCCGGTGAGCGCCTGTTGCCGTTGCAAACTCTGCTATCAGAACACGCGGCAGCTCATCGTCGCGCTCTCGCCATGTGCCCACGACGGCAAGCGTGTCCGCATCCATCTCGACAATACCTTGGCCGACATTGTGCTCGTCCAGCAGCAGTTGGTTTGTCCAGCCGACGACGCCAGTCGCAAGATGCAACTGCACGAGGACGGTGTTGAGGCGGCGCGAAGAGATGCCGAGCGTCGGGTCGTCGACCGTGGGGTCCAAGAAGGCCGTGCCGGCGGTGGCGCCGACAACAAAGACATTCGATGCGGTCATGGCAAGGCCGCAACGACGAGGGTGCTGTGGGTCGTAGATGACATCGTCACTGCACCCGTCGGCTTCGGCCGTGTGCAGTTGTCGCGTCCAGCGCTATGCTGCGTCAAGCCCGCGTCCAGTACAAGGCAAAGATTCTACCCGGCGGCCGTTGGCGTCGAATGAGAGCACGACGAGGTCGCCGTCATGCAGTGCATCGCTCCCGGCGCCGCTATCTGCGCTCGTTGCATCCGCATCGTACCAACGAGACGACATACCATGCTCGAATCGGCCGTTGGTCTGACCGACGAGGTAGATGTGGCCGCTTCCGTCGACGCCCACACTGAACGCTTGGTCGTCGCCGTGGTTGTCCGAGTCGACCAGTTGGGACCACAATGTGCTGCCGTCGCTTGCGCGCAGCTGCAGTGCGACCATGTCGTCTCCGCGGGTGCGACGGCGCGAAATGACGCCGCGGGATGTGCCGACGACAGAGACGATGCTGCCGTCCAGTGTGACTGCCACGCCGAGTCCATGGTGTTGGCCCTCGTCCCCGAACCGCTTTACCCACGTGATCGCGCCGTTGATCGAGAGCTTGGCGACGAAGAGAGCGGTGTGTGTTGCGTTGGCGTGGTAGCCCGTCGTGTAAATGGCCTCGCCGGCGACCGCGAGACGCGTCGCGCACGCGTCGTGGCTGTGTGCTAAGACGGATGGGATCTCGATTGACCAGCGCAGATCGCCGTGCAGCGTTAGCGCCAGCACACGGGCTTCGGGTCCATGTGCGCTGCAGCCAGAGACCAGGCGCATCGCATGATGGGTCGCGATATCCTGGAGGCGGAAGTGCGGCAGCGGTAGCCGCGAGTGCACCACGAGCGGGAGCAGCACGAGACGGAGAACACGCATGCTCGGTATACGAGCTTTGTGGAGTAGGAAACGGTATTTGTCCTTTTTAGGTCTAAGCGCTGAAACGGGCAGAGACAGGCGGTGACGCGGTCACTAGATGCAGCAAACAAGTCTCTATTGTGTGCAGTGGTCGTCATTACAAGCGGCCTACCATGCGGGGCGTATCAAACTCGCAGAGGCGCACGGGGCGGTTCTCCTTCATTGAGAGGGTCGCGGCAAGCCCGAGCTTGAGCGCCTGGCGCCCATCGTGGCCCGAGACCGGCGCGATCGCATCCTTGTTCAAGCAAATCTCGACAAACGCCGCAAGCTCGTCCTTGTACGCCTCCATGTAGCGGTCGATGAAGAAGTGCAGCGGCAAGTCCCGCGCGATCGACGTGCCGTTTGAGATGGTCACCTACAGTAGTCTCAGCACGTCGTTGCGCAGTAGACTGTATACGGTGTTGGGGTAGTTGTTCTCGCACGAGACGGCGCCCTTGGAGCCGAGGATCTCGACGCGCTGGTCGTAGCCGTACGCAGCGACACGGCTGTTTTCAATGTACCCGAGCACGCCGTTCTCAAAGCGGAGGCAGATCACCGCCGTGTCGACGTCGCCCGCCGCGCCAATCTCTGGGTCGCGCGCCTGCGCCATCACAAACACTTGGTCGACCTCAGCGCCGACGAGGAAGCGCGCCATGTCGAAATCATGGATGGTCATGTCACAAAAGATACCGCCTGAGACCTTGATGTAGCTGACGGGCGGCGCGCTCGGATCGCGGCTTGTAATGCGCACCTGCCACGAGTACATCGTCAGCTCGATAGGACTGTGGTTGAGCATACCATGCCAATGGTACCGATTTCGTCTTGCAAAATCGCTTGGCGAATGCGCTTAAAGTTGGCATCGAAGCGGCGGTTGAAGCCGACCATCATCTTGACGCCGGCAGCCTCCACCTAGAGGCCACAGTCATGCATCTATGGTAGGTAGAGCGTGGAAATACCGCGTGCACGGCGGCGTCGACGACCGCCAAGTCGAGCGCAATCGGCTTCTCGCAAAAGATGTGCTTCTTGTGCGCGGCCGCCTGGTGGATCTGCTGCGCATGCTGGTCCGTCGGCGAGCAGATCAAGACGGCGTGGATCGTCGGGTCCTGGAAAATGTCGTCCGGGTTCGTGGTCACCTTGGCAACGCCAAATTCGCGGGCCAAGCTCGCGCCGCGCTCGTCACTCGGGTCGGCAATCTACTCGTGGCATCGTAGTATCGTGGCCACTGCCAAGAAGCGCATACCGCGACGACCGTCACGCCAAGGCGCGTGAGGATTTGCGTGTGGATGCGCCCAATGCGACCGGCGCCAAGCACGCCGACGCGAAGGCTCTGGTTCCGCGATGCCATGTCCATGCTGCTCACGATGTTGGACTTTCACCCAACAATCAAACGGACGGTGGCAACCCCAGGCTCGCGTATCCGGCATTTCACACATAGTATCCGGAATACGTGGCACGCACCACTGCGAGGAGGTCGGGGCGTGGTGCGCGTGGGCGGGGTCGCCAAAAATGGATAGCATGGTGCAGCATAGAGCTCCTTCGAGCTACGCGTGGCCAACCGTCGACCCAATTTGATGGCCGAACGCCTCCTACGTCCATTCTCTGTACTATGGACGACTTGTCACCAATCATAAAAGGATCTTAGAGTCTCAGTTCACATGCAAGTGCCTGAACGTACAGCACCCCGTAAGGACTTGGTGTTTGTCGAGAAGCCAGGGCTCTGTCTCGTGCTTGACGTTGTTGGCAACGCCGCGTCAACGGCTCGGCTAAAGATAGCGTCACGCTCGTTGCTGCTATAGATAGATAGTCGCAACTCCTACTCGCGGGCGCACCCTTCCGCCCGGACGCGTCCATATGAACCTCAGCGCCCGGCGAAAAGACGGTGGCCACACGGCGCCGATGGTACGTTGGCGGTCGCGCACCGGTGCTCAACGTACTGTGTAGTCGACGTCGACGCGGCGCGAGAAGGCCGAGGCGATCCTGCAACGCGTACGCACATGCATCACGGCGTGCGAATCCTACATGCGCGTAGGAGGCGGTCAAGAGCGACAAGCGGGCGGCTCTTGAACAAGTGCTTGTCGCCAAGCTCTTGAAAAAGTACGCGCCGGACGACGCCGACTTTAGCCGCGTCATTGTGTCACTGGTCGCCAAGCTCGTGCGCAGCGCGTCGAAGCTCGTCGAAGCCGACATTGCGGCGCTCGAGAAGACGGTCAAGAAGCTCTACGATGAGCGGGCGCGAAAGGAGCGTCACGTCGAGGAGCTCAAGCAGCAACCTGTTCGGCGCCCTGCGCCTCAAGACGCGCTCGATTCCAAGGTGGCCGAGTTTCGCCCGCACACGAGCCAGCGAAACGAGCCAAGAAAGCCGCCCGAAGTCGACCTCAAGACGACCGACGAATGGGTGCTCATCAACGCTCTCAACATGTACACTGGCCTATACGTTTGCATCGCGGGTGCAAGACCTGTTGTAGTGTCGAGTTTGAAGAGTCGGAAGTCAACAACTTGAAGAAGAAGCACACCAAGACGGTCCAGCAGCGCGAGTGGCTCGACGTGCAAAAGCGCGAGAAAGAGCGCAAGCTGGAAGAGGCCCGTCGCGAGAAGCAGCTTCTGTACAAAGAGCAAGGTATACCTACCTCCATGCGGACAACTCGCAACGTGGATATTGCAGTCTCGGGCTACGACAAGTGGAAGATGGACGAAATGGCCAAGTCGCGCAAGGTCAAGGACGCGGTCGACCACATTCGCATGGAGCGCGACCAGCAGCTTCACGACGCAAAACTCCGGCAGATCGAAATCGAGCGGAAGAAGCAGCACGAAGAAGCGGTCGAGGTCGAGCGCTGTCAGCGCGAACTGCGGCGCGTCGAGGACGAGGCGCTGGACCGGAAGCGCGCCCAGCACGCCCGCATGCACGCACTGCTCAAAGAAAATAGCCTCGTGAAAGAGGCCAAGGACAAGGCCAAGCACCTCGATACGCTCCAGGACGTCAAGATGATGGACGAGTACGCTCGGAAGCTGGAGAAGGAAGAGGCCGACCGCGTCAAAGCACTTCAGCACAAGCTCCAGCGCCAAGACCGACTGGACAAGGGCGGAGCCATCTCGATCTACGAACAGCTGCAGCAAAAGGCGCTCGAGGACGACCGGCGCGCCGACAAGTACCAGCGCCAGAAGCTCGAGACCGACGTGGAGCGCGAGCTGCGTGAAGCCCGCGAGCGCAAGCAAGAGGCAATGGACCGCAGTCGGTATCTCACGTTCCAGCACGACCTGAAGGTGACGAAGAAGCAGCAGCAGGTCGACCGCTTTGATCGTAGTCCATGACACTTACGATTGGGATAGCACCTCGAAGAGCTGGAGTACTCGCGAAAGTGCCAAGATGAGGGCGAGGCCGCACAGCGAGAGACAAGGCACAAGCTCGTACGTCAGCTCGCGTTCTCGCGTGGGACCGATGCGGGTGTAGGAGGTGGCCAAAGTCCGCAACAAGGAGTACCAGGCGCTCCTTCTACAGCAAATGTCCGAGCAAAAAGTCAAGAAGACCTCGGTGCTCAAGGCTATGGACGCGCGGGAGAAGTCGCTGAACGCGGTCATCTTGCGCAAGCTCGACGACGACCATGTGAGTACCAAGGTGGTCGCCAAGCTCAGCCCCGACAAGGTCGGCCGGCCGCTGCCCCGCAACAACATCTTCTAGTGCTATACATACATACCGGACGCGTCGTCTCTCGTATGTTGTAGTTGTACGCAGTTCGATAGACAATATCTGTGCACAGCAGGTCGAAAATCGGACGACCGGCATTCCTTTGGATAAACACACGCCACTTTGCACACGACAGTGATGGTCCATGGACTGGCGTCGGCGCGGGCGCCGCAAGAGGAGGCTGTGAGCCAAAGCACAGTTTGCTCTGCAGCATGCCACGCGCGACGTTGGGTGCTTTACGATGCGCACTGCAGAAGCCCAACGGGGTGGTAATACCAAGTTGGGTGATTTTAGGCCGAAGCCCCGACGTATGTCACGTGTTCTTGCACACTCGCCGACGCCGTGGAATGGAGAACGACGAGCCAAAGCCCAAGGCGCGGGGCCACTCGGGCCCGCGGAAGCGCCGGCCAAAGAACCGAAACAAGAAGAAGGACGACGATGGCGAAGTCGCCATCTCGAGCCCGGCGCCGGCGGTCGTCGTTCGCCCCGAGGAGGCCCCGGCGTCGCCGACGCGATCCAAGCTCTGCGCCTCGGCCAAACCCTTTTCGCCGACCATGTCGCCACCGCTACGCCCCGCGAACGGATCACCACGGCGCCAGAGCGTATCGCCACCGCCGAGTCTCGAGGTCGAAGCGGCGACCCGCGCGTACTGGGTCCAGTGGGCGATTGAGGCCGCCGAGAACGAACGCGCGCGCCGCCTCGGGCTCCTCGCCGAGATTCAGCTCGCCGAAGACGTCGAGCGGCTCCGGCGCCAGTCGTGGGCGATGCAGGCCATCGAGGCGGAGCAGCAGTCGCGCACGGCCAACATGTTTCTCGAGGCCATGCAAAACACCGCTTGGTTCCAAGCGACCATCTCGCCTTCGTTCCTCGACTATGAAGTGGTGTGTCCCCACAGCTGGTTTGGCTGCAGCTACAGCTGCATGCTGCGCCACGTCGAGGAGCATTTGCGCGATTGCCCGTATCGCCAAGTACCAGACACGACGGTCGCTGAGCCCATGGACCTCGACTCGTACGACATTGTGTGCCCGAACGCCATCCTCGGATGCAAGGCCGTGTGCTCTCGGGACGCGGTCGCCGAGCACCTCTTGGTCTGCAGCGTCGTGCGGTCGCCCGAGGCCGAGTACGAAGAACGCATGAACAAACGCGAACACGTGATCCAAGCCAGCGAGGACGAGCGGCTTCGCCGCATGCACGAGACCAAGCCGTGGCCACTCTCGGAGCTTCAGCGACTCTACACGGAGCAAGCAGGCGCTTTGCAGATGCGCCTGCACTCGGAGATCGTCGCCTTCGCCGACTACACGGCGTCGCCCGTCGATGCGACCGCGGTCGCGTGCGTGCTGACGCATCTTGGTAGCATTGCGCAGTTGGTGTGGCCCAATGTTTGCGTCGAGCCGTACGGGTCGTTTGCCACGCAGCTCAACGGTCCGTCGAGTGACGTCGACGTCGTCATTGGCTACTTTGGGGACGCCCCCGTGCCACCCGTGCCGCCGTTCGATGTCCAAGTGCTCGCCGACGTCCTCATCAACCATGGCAGCGAGCGCATTGTGTTTACGAGCATCCAGGCGATCCCGCACGCAGCGATCCCGCTCGTCAAGGTGCTCGTCGAGCTCCATTCGGAGGACGTCGATCACGTCATCCGCGTGCCGCTGGATATTACGTTTTGGAAATTGCATCACTATGGCCTCGCGAGTGCCGCGCTGTCGCGTCAGCTGTGCGCCGAGTTGCCAGGATTGCGCGAAGTGACGCTCGTGCTCAAGTACTTTTTGAGCAAGCGCGGCATGAACGACGTGTACCGCGGCGGTCTCTCGTCGTACGGTTTGGTACGCGTACTTTGTTTGGACGCGTTGTCGATGACTCGTACTAGCTGCTCATGGTGGTCCACGTGATGCTCTTGAACGAGCCGAAAGCCGAGGCCGCGCCCGACGAGTCCGATGCCGAGGTGCAACGCTCCATCTTGCTGTGGCAAGAGGCGCGCGGCGTGCAAATCGGTCGTGCGATCACGTCACGTGTGCGCTGCGAAGCCGCGTCGCCCAACCTCGGAAAGCTCTTTATGGACGTTTTGCAGTACTACGGCAACGACTTCCAGCCCGAGGTCGACGTCGTCACCGTCCTCTCGTGGATTGATCAAAGGTGCGTCCTGCCCCATGGCGTGTTGTTGCTGCATGCCTTTGTGACGGATAGCGAGCCGTGGACGACGCTGTACATTCAAGATCCACTCCACGCGCCCAACAACGTAGGACGCAACTGCTATCGTATTTCGCATATCCTACGCGGTTTCAACGACGCCCTCAACTACCTCACGTCCCTCATCGTGCGCGGGAACGACCACAAGTACGCCTCGATTCTGGACCACATCCTCAACGGACCGATCGCGCCGCCGTAAACATCGCCTTAATTTAATACTATCTTGGTGCCAGTCTCAAAGCCGGCTCGATCCTCCATGCAATACGGGACAGAATCCTAGAGGTAACTTTGGTGCGCTAGAATTTGGTTGTCACTGCACGAGCCCCAGTTGCACTGCTCAACAAGCCACTTCCTCTCTCGTGCAAATGTGCGCGTGGCACGGTGGTGAAGTTCCAGAGCGATCCGGTCGAAGGATGTCGAGATATTCCTGGTAGGAACGTTTACGTGGTGTACCAGCATCCCAGGGGATTAATTCGATGTGTCGTGTCTCAATCCGGCCAACCCATTGGCTATATATCGAGCCATTTGGCCAATGAAACGCAGATTCATTGGTCTAAGCCAATCGCATCGCGCGAAACGTGTCCCGTGAAGTGCGATTTTGGTGTCCCCGTAAAGTGCTGTCCATTTTCCGGACGTTATACTTGATTAAAGTATAACAATTGCGCTGAAGTGCGCCTGCGTACTTAACCGAAATTCACGCAACTTTCCATTTAGGTGCGATTGCAGAAGCGCGCCGTCGTCGCAATACCGTTAATCAACGCTTCGCATTCAATACAAAAGTTCCTACCAGCTCACCCCGCAAGGGACCTGTTATTGACAACAATGTATGGACAGGTACACCGTTCGAAGGCCATACGTACTTGGTTTGGCCCATAAAATCATAGCTTTGAAATTAAGTACTGTTTACTATGGTCTATTTTCTTTGATTGCTTGTCGCTGCGGTGCAGAGGCCATCGGATGGGATATATAATGCCACTTTGCGCCAACCGATGCGATGCATGAACACCTCAACTGCGAAACGTCTGGTACAGTCGTTGACTTAAAAGGGTACAATCACTTGCGGGTGAAACGGGCGCGGCTGCGAGAGCGGTAAGTGCCGCAGCTCGCCGTCGGGCATGAGCTGGAACGTGTCGATCGAGTTGGTGTTTTCGTTGGTGACGTAGACAAAGTCGTCGTCCGTGATCGTAAAGTCGCGCGGGCCGCCCCATGTCGAGGTGCGGTACGTGCCGACGTGCGCAAGCGTGTCGGTGTCGTAGACGACGATGCTGTCGTCGGACGCCGGGGCGCCGTACCGGTTCGAGACGAGCACGAAGCGGCCGCTGGATGTGACGTGGATCGCACCCGTGAGAACGCCGGTCGCGCTCGTCGTCGTCACCGACGCGACCAGCGTCAGCGTGCCCAAGACCGGGTCGAAGGCGTACTTTTTGAGCTCGTTGGACGCCTCGGTCGTCAAGTAGAGGTACTCTCCACTCGGGTGAAACGCCATGTGACGTGGCAGCGTGCCCGGTCCAACGTCCACATAAGGCACGGCGTTCGGCGTGAGGTAGCCCGTCGTCGCGTCAAAGGCAAACTGCATGATGCGGTCGTTCCCGAGGTCCGTGACAAACCTACGTCGTCTCTCGATAAGGCGCGTCCCACACGAGTTGCTAACGTACACGAAATCGTCGTTGGGGCTCAAGGCAACGCAGTGTGCGTGGGGTCCGTCCTGGCGGCCGGGCACGACGTGGCTGCCCCCCGAAAACACCACTTGGTGCGCAATGCGGTCTGCAAACCCGTTCGCGTCCACCTGCATGACCTAGATATCCCGTCAACGTGAAGCCGACGTCGAGCGTGTAAGCGCAATAACGTACCGTGACGCTGCCAATATTATAGCTTGCAATCAAGACAAACCACCCGCTTTTGGTCGGCGCAATGTGCACGGGGCCGTGCGACGCGGTCGGTGCGAGGCCGAGCGGTGTCAGCGTCAGCGACGTCCCGGCATCGTCAATCTTGAAGGACGCGACGTGACCGATATCGACTTCGTTGGTCATGTACAAGAACCGGCGGTCTTGCGTCACCGTCAAGTACGTTGGCTCGTTGCCCGTCGTGACGTTCGACTGGTGCAGCACTTCGCGCAGGTGGCCGTTCGAGTTGCTATAGATCGTCAGGCCGATCGGCGACGGGTCGGCTGCGTTGGTCTTGCTGCCCACAAAGAGGAACGGACTCGCCTCGGCGGCGTAGACGGTGAAGAGCACGAGCGCGAGGAGCAGCCGCATCGTCGGAAAAGGCAAAATGAGCTGCTTCAAGGTCGCTTCTTGGATTCAGCACACTTGGTTTCAGTATACTATACAATCCATAGTGCACACGTGAAATGCGCCAACCATGTCAAACTGAACGACGGCGCGCTAATCGCACGCAACGAACGCCCAAGGTTCGCCACTGAGCGACCAAGAGAGACCACGAATCGAACGCTTACATCCACGCCAGGTACCCACAATTGCTACGTCAGGTGTCAGGACCCTCGAGGGTACCTGGTACAGTACTGTAGCCCCTGCTATAGCCCCAATGGTGGCCCTCGCCACGCGATCCCCTTCCGCCAGATGCGAGGCAAGGTCGACGAGATTCACATCTGGGCGTGTTCACATACGCGCTGAGTCCCAAGCACATCCTCGCCGATCCCCTTTGCTTGCCGTCTGAGAGAATGATGCGTGAAGCTCCGTGGAGGATCGGCTGCACGGTGTTGACTCCATCAGTTGCGTCGGTTTATCCACGCGGGTGTCGCATACATAGAACTAGGATATCCTGTCCTGATCTCGCGTGGTTTCATCCAGGAAAAAGCCTTCCGGAAAGGTGCAGCCGGGAGAGTCGAGTAGCCTGCTCGAAGACCGGCTTCGGAAGCGCGACGATGACAGTGGCCCCAACGACGACCGCGAAGCGCGTGGCCGCGCTAGCGAACCTCCACCTGCCCAACACGAAGCGAATCGACCTCTCGCCGGTGGCGCTGGACGATGGCCCGCTGCGAAGCGAGCGCATCACGTCCGGCGAGCGCGACGCGACGGCTGGCGGCAGCGACGAGCGCGTCTATGTCCGTCGAGTCATTTCTGCTCGCCCCGACATAGTCGGTGAAGAGGCCTTGACCAGACACGCGCCGCCCGGCGTCTTCCTTCACGAGCACCTCTCGCCCAGCGTCGACATGATCGCGTCGACAGACACGATGAAGCAAGTATTTGCAATGCCGTACCAGACCGAGATCGGATCTTCGGGGGTCGCGATCCACCGCGTCGGCAACTCGCTCGTCATGGAGAGCGCCCACGATCGTCTTCGCCGTCGGCGCGAGCAAGGTGTCGGGTCCGAGGCGCGCAAGATCTCACAGCGCTACAAGAAATCCCAGCGACCAGCCACGCAGCTCTTGCAGCACCTTGCGATCGACGAGCCGCCCGAGACGAGCCCGCTCAAGACGTCGCTGGTCAATCCGCAAGACGACCATGATGGCAGCGTCCACGATACCGACGAGAGCGAGGACGGCGACAGCATCGCGTCGTACGAGCTCGTGGCCGACCCCGAAACAGGCGAGATCTTTCTTCTCGTTCCCGATGCGCCGCAGCCCGAAGAGCGCGCGCAAACCGCGTACCAGCAGGTGCTGCACGATCGGTTCTTGCACGACGACCTGTCGAGAGCGACGTTGCCCCCGACGCTCCCAACGGCGTACGACCGCGTCGTGCACTGGCAGTTCGACTCGATGGAGATGCTCCTTGGCAACAATTCGATGCTCTTCCAGCACGCGCCGTCCGGGGACTCGATGGCCGTCGCCTTGCGAGACGTCGAGGTCCATTGGACGTCGTTTGCGTGTCTCGACCTGTGGCTGGACCAAGTCATGACAGGTATCCAGCGCGCCGCCATTTGCTTGCCCAACAAGAACGGCCGCCTCGACAGCTACCGCTTGGTGCGCACGGACGAGCTGCCCTTCCTCGGTGACCACGCGGGCTTTGATCCGGCCCACGTCTTTCACAATGCGCAGTCCATTCTGCGCTTTCTCCAGGCTCACTGTGTAAACGAAGCGACGACGTACTGGCTCACACAGTCGCCGTCCGGCGTCTGCCTCTTTGAGCTCCCGGCAAATGTGATCGCGCACCCGTCGTCGGTCGACCACACGGTCGGCATGTTCTGCCTCCAGCTGGCGTCGCAATCCACCGAGAGTGCGCGTGCGATGCAGCTGTATCGGAAAGGCCTACGCCTTGTCGACAAGCGGGTGATGTCGCCCAAGACGCTTGCGACGGCGCTTGTGGCGTCGGCAAAACTCACGTGGGCACCCTACATGCGCCCGTATACGGCGACGCGCTGGCTGCAGACTGACGCCTTTGTGCGCGCCAACGACGTGCAGTCGCAGCTCGTGCAAGCCCTCGACGCCTGCGAAGCGTTTGCGTCATCGCCAAAGGACACGAAGACGCTCTTTGAGATTGCGCAGCAGTTTCTACCGCCGCAGACGACGCATGTGGCGGAACCAAGTGCCTTGCCGCCGCCGCCCATGCTCGACGATGAGGCGCAACAGAAGGAAGATATGGAGTCGGCGCTCTCGCTGCTGCTCGAGGCCACTGCGTATGTCGATGTCAGTACGTGTACTGAGCTCCGCGAGGCGCTACTGGCGTGCTACTACGTATTGGTACACATTGCGCTGCTCGAGGGAGACGGCGGCCTCGCGCTGCACCGCCTCCATCACATGCTGGGCTTTGTCGACTCGTTCCAGAGCTCCCAGGTCCCGCTGGTTGTCGCCAAGGTGCACCTGCGTCTCGCCATGCAACCGGTAGACGAACTACGTGTCGTGCAAACGCAATACGAGCAAGCTCTTGCGGCCGACCGCGCCGTCGCAGTCGCGTCACCGCCCGTCGACGCGCCCGTGTGGCTGCATATGACGCGCCACGCGCTCGACGGGGACGCCGAGCAGCACCTCAACATTGCGCTCACGTGTGCGATGCAAGTTGGTGACTACTCGACGTTGCCGCACTTGGTCGTAGGCCGCGAACACATCCACCGTTGCTTTCGGGAAACCTTGCGCGAAGCGTACGTGTCCCTGGCGCGTCATCTCGTGTCGACGGGCCGGCACACCAAGGGTGCGCGTCACGCCGAGCAAGGTATCTTGCTCTTTACCTCGCTTGGCGACGACGTGGCGATCCTCGAGCTGCGCATCGTGCTCGCAGAAGTCGCGCTGCGCTCGGGGCGACACCACAAGGCCATTGGCGGCTTCAACGCGGCGCTCTCGGCGCTCCGGCTCGTCGAGTCCGAGTACGTCCGTGTGCTCCACGTGCATCTGTTGCTGCTCTTGCGCTTTGCCCACACGTCGCACGCGCTCCACTTGCAGCAGCAGCTCGCGTCCGAGCCGATTTTGAACCGCGATGGTCAACTGACGGCAGCCCGGGTCGCGATTCGAGACGAGCTGAGTACGGGCCTGCACTTCGGAATGGACGCCTTGGCGCTTCCGTCGCGGCGACAGCAAGCACAGTTGTGTGCGTGGCGCGTAGCCGACTCGCACTACCTGCTGGCGGGCTTTGAGGCTTCGTACGCGCACGCGCACCTCGCCCAGTCGCCCGATGCAACCCTCTGGACAAGCATCGAGGCCAGTGCAGCGCACTATGACAAGGCGCTCGAGACCTTGCCGCTCCACGCCAGTACGCGCGTGCACCACCTGCTGTTGCGGCTGGACAAGGTCAAGTTTCTGCTCTCCGTGGGTGTCGCGGCCGAGACGAAAGTGCCTCGAGAGGCCCCTGCCGCGTCGGTGTACAAGGACGCACTGAACTGCATCTTGGCGAGCGCAACTCTGTACGAAGCGACACCGGCCGAGACCATTGAGTCACAGCGCATCGCGCTTTTGCTGCGCGGGCTCTTCCAGCTCATCGAGCAGCAGGCGCATGCGTGCTTGAAGCACCTCATCAAGCTCCAAAGCGGTGACGCCGCGATGTTCAAGGCGTGCTACTTGGACTGGCTCACGCACGGCCGGGATCGAAGCCCTCATGCGACGCTCCTTGCTGCCAGCAGGACACTCGTACCCGACGACGACGACGATACGACACCATAATCAATGCTGAACTCCATTCACTGGTGCCTTTCTTGCCCCAGTGCAAGCTTGGGACGACGTCAAGGGCGATGCTACGTCGATGTCGTGAGCAGGATGAGTTGCGTTGGGCGTTGACCATCAAGTTGGTGGACTGGTTGGCCAAATGCTTGGAAAAAGGTGCAACTCGCGTCCAGAGTGTCAAAAATGGTATTTCCACCGATTACAACAGATATCAAAACCAAAGGGCAAGAAAATTTGCTACGTAACTTTGGTTATCGCAAGGCTCCGTAGATAGTCGGCGACGTGGCGCTGTCCGTTCTTCCCACAGAGGTGCAGCGCGCGCTGGAGGTCGTCGTCGGTGGTTTGCGGCAGCGCGCAGACAAACTCAACAACGTCGAGGTGGCCGTTGAACGCAGCATACAAAAGCGCCTTCTTCGTGCAGCCTTCGTGTCGATGGGTGGCGAGCCACTGGACGATTGTCAAGTGCCCCGCGCACGCCGCATAGTCGAATGCATCGGTCGTGCAGCCTTCTCTCCGGTGTACATGAAGCCATTGAAGCACCTCCAAGTGACCCTTCTCGGCGGCTTGGTCCATCGCACGCACCGAACACCCGCGTGGCGATCCATGGACGTGCAGCCACTGCACCATATCCAAGTGGCCTGCCGCGGCGGCTGCGTCGATCGCGAGCGCATCTGTGTACGCGTGCGCGTGGAGCCAGGACACGACGTGCAAGTGGTTGTTTTCAGCCGCGTATAGTATTGCGCACGAGCTGCGCGTCTCCGGGCGATTCCAGTGGACCCATTGTACCACGGCCAAGTGGCCGTTGGCGGCGGCCGCCTCCATCGCCACTGGCGTGAGCAAAAGCGCGGGAAGGTGCTCGAGGAGATAGACGTGTCCGAGCGCAGCGGCCAAGTCGCCGTCACACCACTGCGCAGCTGCCTTGCCTCGCGAGAAGACGCTCGTCACGCGAAAGAGGTCGTCGTTCGTGAGCACTGCGCGCGCCATTTCAAAACTGCACTCCGCGCGTGCCACGTTGCATTGGCATGAAATAGTGTTATATATGTTCTTAGCTGCATGACGTCGAGCGAAAGAGGCAAGTCAATGCTCGCACCGACGTGAATTCATCGTGTGGTGTGCCTGATGGGCCAATGGGGCGAGCTGTGCGTGTGTGCGACGCGCAGGCATAGTGTCATCCTCTTATCACACTATTTCACGGTTGGACTCTCCCGTCAACTTCAACGTCAAGAAATGAACCAATAGAAACTCGGCTCGATGGACCAATGAGCGCGGGTATCCAAGAGTCTAGAGCCAATCAGAAGCGCGTGAGTTTGCACCAATCAAGAGCGGTCAGAAGCATGTTTCCGACCGCCGAGCTCTCGACTGACGGCCTCGAGTTCGACGTCCACTTTGACCATGCACCGGACGCAGGCAGGCTCCGCCGCATGGCAGCCGAAGTCGCCGCCTTCGTAGGCGACTACATCTGGCAGAAGGAGCCTCTGTGCCTGGAAGCGCCCATGACCACGTGGACCTCGGCGACGACGCTGCATGGCAAGATGTATGTTGGCGACAACGTCGAGGACGAATGGGTCGCGACCGCTGCCTTGATGTCGCTGACAAAGGCGCACGCCGATATGACGCTCCAGGTTGCCGACGCCGATGGTCAGTTCCTCCTCATTGAAGCGGCCGAAGCGCTGCCCATGTGGGTGACGCCCGAGAACTCCAACAACCGCGTCTTCCTGCGTCATGGCCGCGTCTATCTCCTCACGGACGACGTCGAGAAAGGGCACTTGGATCTAGCAATTGCGCTAAAGACGCTCACGACGACGCCGTCCAAGCACGAAGCGCCAAGTGACGTCCAGCGAATCCTTCTCGCCCGACTCGAGGCGGCGCAAACGCACTCGATGCAGCGAAGCATCAACCGCCACACAGTTCAGTGTCGCATGCCGACGTCTGCCGCCATTGTTCTCCAAGAGACCCCCCGCGCCGTAGCCTACGCCGTCGAAGCCTTCTACTACCGCGAGCCTACCGAAGCCACGCGGCTCTGTCGCCACATGCAGCGCTTCTCGCCAACTGATATGACGACCGTCATGGTACCGTTCTCTCGGTGCATGTTCGCCCAGCTCAAGCAGCAGCCATTTGCGGCGCCCAAGCCCTTTGGCATCCTCGACGAAGCCGACGACGCAGCGATCCTGGGCATGAAGCTCACGTGCGGCCTCGAGCTCCTGTATGCCAGCCACACCAAAGACCACATGGGCGCTCTGTGGTCATCGCGCATTGACGCAGCCACCAATATGCCGCTGCAACGATCACCGCTTGAGCCCAATGACGATGACGCGTGGCTCTACGTGGCGCCTGAGAGTTTAGAGGAGACACTGCGCAAGGCCGAGTCCCGCGTGCAAGACGGCAACGCCGACGAGCTCCAGGACATGGCCACGATGTTCCACTCGTTCGTCAAGGAAGCGTCCGAGTTCGACGGTGTCGACATGTCTGCGAAGACGTTGGCGCCCGTGAGCCTGGACATGGATGCGCTCATGGCAATTCTCAACCAAACGACTGCGACGCCGTCCGAGAAGCCGCACGCGCCAGAAGACAACGACGCGTATTTCTTCTCGAGCGATGACGAGGACGACGACAGTGATGACGAGGATGACGAAGATGACGCCGCCATGGACCACCTCATGGAGCAGCTCATGGACGAGATGGACATGGAGCTCACCGACTCCAAGATGGCCAAGAGCTTCCAGACGACGACGACGACAACGATGACAACCAGCGACGAGGCCGACGACGACGCGTCACAACTCACACCCGTCAACCTCGACTTGAACCTCGTGTCGAACCTACTCGAGTCGCTAACGTCGCAGGAAGGCCACGCTGGACCTGTCTCCAACATGCTTCACGACATGGGGTTCCGGTCGTAGCTGCTAAAGCTTGTAAAGTAATCGATTACGAGTTGTTGAACGGCGCTGACTTGGCTTCCTCTACTTCCAGTACGCCGCAAGGCAAATATGGTGATGCTTGCACGAGTCGAAGGCGCGCAACTGCGTCGAGCTGCGTCAGCGTCGCGGCCGGTCGACGCGGGAACGTGACGCGCGGCACCAGCGCCTTCAGACACTCTCGCAGCGGCGTCTCTTCCGTCGCCATCGCGCTTTTGTATCCGTCGCAAGTCGGTATAAAAAGGTCACATGTCGACAAACTCTCGGATGTTTCGCTTGGAAGATTCAGCGTTAATTAGGTGTTTAGGTGTTTCCGCGCGACGCCTATACCTACTACAGGGACGCGCCGTCGTCGGGCACGAGCTCGAGCGCCATGTGTTCGAGCGTTTGCTGGTCCAAGAGCCCGTTGGCTGTCACGTGCGAAGCGGCGGCGGCGCCGTCGAGGACACTGTAAAACTCGGCGACATTAGCTTGGTCGGACACGCATTGGCGGATGCCTTCGATGATGTTGATGTCGAGGTCCATGCTCTGGACCTTCCCGCCCGCAAAGTGGCACGACACACGCAGCGGGCACGGCGCCGGGCGCTGAAGCAGCAACTGCACCAAGTCCTCGCGCGCCAGCAGCCGCGGAAAGACGAGCGCAATCGAGTCGCGGTTGAACTGGACGAGGACGACGCCGGTCGTCACAATGTACTCTTGCTCGGCGCCAAAGACCTGGATCTGCATGTTGGGCGCGTCAAAGTGCGAGAGCAGCGACTGGCACGCACGCCACTGGTCGAGGAGGTTGCCTGAGCCCTGGACGCCGTTGACGTACATGTCGTCGTGCATGCGGTTGCGCACAAAGTCGATCTGCTGGGTGTAATGCCGGCCATTTTGGTCGGCGAGGCCAAATCGGAAGAGCTCCCAGTACGCTGCGATCGTGTTGGAGCGCTGCATACCCGCCTCGATGAAGCGCATGAGCAGCTTCGCCTTGAGCAGATGCGCGTGGTCTTGAAGCCGCGTGAGTTCAATATGGAGCTCGCTCAGCTGCTCGGCCTTGGCCTCAAACTTCTTCTTCTTCCGGAGCCGGTACCGGCGCTGGTTCTGGAGACACTCTTGGCGCCGCTTGGACGCCTTCACCACGTCCGTGGACGTCGGCGGTGGGCTCGGACCGAGCTCCGATGTTTGCGGCGACAGCTCCGGGCGATGTGCCATTTCGAGTTGGACAAAAAATGACAGTCAACACTGGACATCGCGCTTAAATTCGGCATATGCCACGAAAAATGACGTCGCCGAGAGTGGCGTCATGTGACCGTTATCGCGATTGGTTCGCTTTGTGACAAGCTGTTTTTGGAGAAAAGCTGGGCCTCCTCTGTCCCTGAAGGGAATCAACGGCCGAGCCAGCGGCCGCCCGCGTGAATTTGGTGGCCTCGGAGAGCGCGGTTGCGCAGGATGAAGCAAGCATACCTAGGTAGGTTGACTTTCGTAATCACGCCAACGGTCCCGCCGTAACAAGCACGAGTGCGTCCTTTCCCCTGTATTATATCATACTAAAAACGAATGTGAGGTTGCACGCGCACCCAGCGAGGATCCATCCGTTTTGATCGAACGTGCGGGACGCATAGATGTGAGGTTTTCGCTCGGCGTTTGGGCGGCTGCGCCAAAAGCTACTACGAACGAAGCATGCTGCAGAACGACATGACACGACGCCTGCTTCTGATGACACGTGCGTTCGTGGCCATTCGGTGATGGACGCTGTGCAAGGACAAGGGTGGTACACAAGCCTCGTAGCAGCTCTGGTCCGTATCCTGCGGCTCGCGCTTCTCTTACCCGGTCGTCTTATTTTCGGCATCCTGGCACGCCGTCCCAGCCATTGAAGCACCGAAACTTGACTACTTTGCAAACGTCGTCGTCATCGTCTTGTAGACAGGGACCACGAAGCACTTTTGACGAATATTACGGGAAAGTTCCAAACTGCGTCACTGCGCGACATCACAATTCGACGGCACGAGCAGAAAGTCAATCGAGGCTTTCTTGGTGACCTGACCACCGTCATCGTCCTTGGTGTCTACAGGCGTCGGCGCGTCGTCAATGCTGACTGGGAGGGGTTCGACAAATCCTGCCACTGCGTCGACGTCGTCGACGGGCGCCACGTCATTGTACAAAATGGTGCCGTCCGAGAGCATCTTGCTGCCACCTTCGGCATGTGCGACAAAGCTCATGGCCTCGAGGTCACCGAGCGCATGGTACAGGCCGCTCATAAAGTTGATCTCCGAGTCCATGACCGAGACAAGGTCGTCGTCAAAGAGAAACGACATGCGGAGCTCGCAAAAGAGCCCGGTAGCAATGAGCTTTTGGACCACGTCCTCCCGCTTGAAGACGTGCGGAAAGAGCGCAGCGATCGTCGTGCGGTTGATGACCGCACGCATCGTGCCGGTCACGGTCACCACGTTATGCTCGGCGCCAATGACTTGGAGCTCGAGCGTACGCATTTCGACGCGGGAAAAGAGCTGGCCGCCCGCGCGCCACTGCGCGACGAGCGACGGAATACCGACCTCGCCGTTGAAGAGCAAGTTGTCGCTCATGACGCCCGAGAGGAGTTCCTGCTGCTCGTTGAACTTGGCGCTGTCAAACATGGCGAGCCCGTGCTGGAACATTTTGACGTACGACGCAATGGCGTCGTGCCGGTAGTTGCCGGCTTGGACATGCCGGGTCACGTGCGAATTTTGGAGCAGGAGAGCGAGCTCGTGGAGGCGCCGGATCTCTTCTTTCGTGCGCTTGATGCTTGCGGCGGTGTCTTCGTGCTGCGCCTTCTTGCGCGCCCGGTACCGACGCTGGTTGATCATGCACTCGAGGCGCCGCTGTTCTGCGCGCTCCTTGGCCGTCATCTGTGGCGTCGGTAGCGAGTCGGTCATGTAGCGCAGCGCTGTCGGCTCCATACCTTGGGACAGCGGCAGCAAAATGAAAAGTGAGCGTGATCGCCCACCTGCTGGCGCGGCCTGGTGCACCTCGAAGCTTCAATGCAACTTCGTTTACATGATAGGCCACTGGATCTTCGTATTGTCCTGCCAGCTGGGGCAAGTTACGTTACTTCGAAGTTTGGTAGGCACCCGATGACGTTGCTCTAAAAATAGATTGTCACGCGAGGCGCCTGTTACACACGCCACGGAAATAGTGTTTGCAGTGCTCTCTGCGGACTCTCCCAGCACTGCTCCCACCAGCTCGTACGTCGGTTGATTGGGCTCGTGTGCGAGAACTTGAAGGACAAAAGGAAGCAAATTGTGTTGTCGACGCTGTCCAAATCTGCAAGGGAGAGCGCTGACAAGCCCGCGTGCGTGCGCTTGCAGCATCGTGTTTCGTCAAAACCCACGAACGCACGTGGTGGCTGATCTCGTCACGAGCACCGGTCGTTGATTCCAGACCTGGGCGCAAGTTGATGCTTACGTTGACTCTTTTTCAGCTGACACTGGTTCGGCGGTTCTAGGCAACGCGGCGTCGAGCGTACAAAGGGTGCAAGCGACGATGGATTGTTCGGGCTTGTTCGAGCGTTCTGGCGCATGTGACCAAGACGACGACCGACTAGATACAAACGCCGACTACGTGTTGCGAGGCACGCGCCCAAACCGCGTAGAAACAACGATCCGTGCAAAGCGAAGCGAGACCTCCGAAATCATTTCAAAGATCATTGCAGGGCAATTCGATCAAACTTGGCGCACACGACCGGCGCAAAGCTGTGCACGACAAATGAGCCTCCAATGTGACGCCGCACGTTCCAGTTGCTATTACGTTGTAGCCTTCGATATCTCCTGGGTAACGAAAACGCTGTGCCGAAAAGGTTTACTGTATATGGTCGTGCCGAGACCCTCACCAAGATGAAACCCGAGATCGAGCTGCCGCGACGTAGGGGATAACGTTATGTACTGTACCACAACATTGACGCTGCTGTAAAGCTGTACTGTACTGGGATTGGGTTCGGTGTTGGGTGGAGGCTTTGGAAATACATCTTTTGTATGCCCTCTCGAGGCAACCCCGCAGAGTTTTCGAGTAGACTGTAGCGACGAGCTACAGTCTACGCGTCGTCATAGCGTGACGAGTGGAGTGCTCGCCATTCTAGATTCTAGTGTAACGTCGAGTTTGCCCTTGTAAAGTGCAAACTTGGTGGCGCAAACGTGCAAACTCGTGGCTGCAGTACCACCGCCGTAGCACCCACGACGTGGGAATGCTACTGTGATCACGTCGCTCCCACTCTGCGTAGCGTCATCCCGTGTATGATGCTACTCGAACGCAGGGAGCAAACATGCTTGGCGTTGAACAACCTGGCATCGACGACGCCGTTTGATCGGGTTTCGTATAACTTACTATTATTATTACTATGGACTCTAGACTTTACATAAGGATGTAGTTCATCTCGCTCTTGAGCGGTGCCAACGTTGGTTTGAGCATGTCGAGCTTGACAGGGCTTGAGACCATCTCGTGGGCGCGCGAGCTCAGCTGCGTCAAGAGCACGGCCTCGACCGCGATCATGCCCTCGGGCGTAATGCGTGTCGCGTCACCGCCGTGGACGAAGAGCGTCGTGTCGACCAAGTTGCCAAAGACGTTGTGGAGACCTTCGACAAAGCTGAGGTGGGCCTCCGTCGACTCGACTTGGTTGTCGCCAAAGACAAACGAGAGGCGCAACGGACACGCAATCATCTTGTCAAGGACAGCCATGACGAGGTCGTCGCGGCCGGCAGCGTGCGGGAACAAGCACGAGATCGTGTGGCGGTCAAAGAGGAGCTCGAGAACGGCGTCAACGACGACAACGGCGTGGTCGTCGCCGAGCGTCTGCATGTCGAGCACCTTCATGTTGATCTGGGAAAAGTACTCGTTGAACGCCTCCCACTGCTGGCGCAGGCCATGGATGCCGACGCTGCCGTTGAGCACAACGTTCGGGTGCATGAGGCTGTCGATGATGTCGAGTTGCTGGTTGAGCAAGTGGCCCGGCACGCGGGCGAGGCCGGACCGGAAGAGGCTCATGTAGGTCGAGATCGACCGGCAGCGAAAGGTGCCGGCTTGGATGTTGCGCATGAGCACGTTCGACTTGAGGAGTGCCGCGTGCTCTTCGAGGCGGCGCGTCTCGCGCCGAAGCTCGTCGACATACCACTCTGTGTTTTGTGTCTTGCTCTTCTTGCGCTCGCGGTACCGGCGCTGGTTCATCATGCAGTCGTAACGGCGCTTGTCCATCTTGGACGGGTGCGCATCCGGCGACTCGCCGTCCTTGCTCATCGTCGAGACCGACGAGGTCTTGCGTCGCTTCGGGGCCACCATTGAAATTCGGAAATGACCCGACGTCGCGTTGCCCGTGACGTGACCTCGGGTCGTGTTTACCACCATGTCCTGATTTCGTCATGAACGCGCTTCGAACTTCGTGACGTTGATGCTAGTTTTGTAGCATAGTGAAAGCCAGAGTTAACATTTCTCGTACACCGTGCATCCTCCGTCGCGAATGATAACGTTAGGACCACGCTCGGCGTATCCCGAACGTTGGTCGTCCAATGTCTTCTCGGGCGGCGACGACGCATATAGGAGTGGCTACTGCACGTCTGGATACAAGCGCCTGATTGGAGCGCCGCTTGGATGATGCGACTCGACACAGACACGGCCAAAGTGCACTGCGCTAAGGAGCCGACGACCAGGATGATAACGCGATGGGACTGAGATTCGTCCGCGATATATATTTGAAACGCGCGCTTGTGTTCTGTAAATCGACGACGCGCTGGATCTTGCTGGCGTTGAGGATAGGCAGTATCGATCGCCCGATCAAAACCAAACGCCACGGGTCGATGATTGCGGCTCGTTCAGCGACTGGAGATATATTTGATTTGCGCACCAGCGTGCCGTAATCCGGTGCGCGCAATCATTGGGTCGTGGAGGGGAAATAGAGGGTGTATTGAGCTACCTCTGATAAACTGTACCAGCGATGACGCTAGTCCGCCCTCCAAATCATCTAACGTGTCTCAAATGGAGTGTGGGGCGTCGCATCCCCATGGCAATCCGACGTCGTCGTCGCGCGACCTCATGACCACGCGATGCTCATGCTTTATCCATAACATCATCATCAGCCGCACCTGCTGCACGCGGTGCCAAGGCTTCGCGAGGCGACGTTTGTGTTCGTCGAAGTTACCGCTCGTCAACTTCGATTGTGCCACATTTGAAACTGCTCACGTAATTGATTGGGTTTCCACCAATCCAACAATTCAAATCGTTGGCCAATCATACATTTCTCTTGAACGATTTTAGACCAATGTAAAAATGCTTGTATTTTGGCCAATCCGCACGCGCTAAAAGCACTTCGGATCGCAAATCTTTTTTGGGTTGAGAATGAGGGGCGTCGTGGGGCTGACGACATGGCTGGCAGTGCTCGCGGCCGTCGTTGGTGCGTGGGAGCCGCAGCCCGAGGGCTACGAGCTCATCGACGGGCCAGGCCGCCATGACAACGCGTCCATCGAAGCGTGGCGAAGCAAGTGGGCGACGTGGAAGGAGCTGGAGCTGCGCACTGTTCGCTATGCGCCCAAGGACGTCAATAGCGTCTACAACACGCCGGCCTTGCAATGGACGCAGACAAGCCTGCTCCAAGTCTTCGTCATGATGCACGACCGCATGCTCTTTGACCGCGACACGAATGCGTATACGCTCGACAAGTACCTCGGGACGTTCGACTTGCAGTTCGACAGCGTCCTCCTTTGGCCATCGTACCCGAACCTTGGCATCGACACGCGCAACCAGTGGGATTTATGGTATTCGCTGCCGGGTGGCATCGATGGCGTCAAGCAGCTCGTTGCGGACTTTCATGCGCGCAACATCCGTGTCTTCTTGCCCTACTTGCCGTGGGATACGGCGACGCGCGACCCGAACCCGACCAAGTCGCGCTACCAGTCCGATATCGACGAGCTCTACAACGTGCTGCGTGCGACGGGTGCCGACGGCGTGAACGGTGATACGCTCTACGGCGTCCCATCTTCGTTCTACCGACCGAACGAAGGCATGGCGACGTGCCCCGAAGGCGGAGTGCCCTCGTCCGACTTGGGCACAAACCCGATGAGTTGGGGCTACTACTACGGCTTCTCGAGCTTCCCGCCCGTCGCGCGCGCCAAGTTCTTGGAGCCTCGCCACATGGTGCTCATCTGCAGCCGGTGGTCGCTCAACCGCGGCCTCGAGTTCCAGCTCTCGCACTTCAACGGCGCTGGGTACGTCATTTGGGAAAACATTTGGGGCATCTGGAATGGCATGACCAAGCGCGAGGTCGAGACGCTCAAGCGGTCCATGTCGATTCTCCAGCGCTTCTCCTTTGCGCTACCCAGCCTCGAGTGGACGCCGCATGTCCCGGGCCTGCCAACCAACGTCCACGCGTCCAAGTTTCCCGTGCCATCGGCGAACGCCATCTTGTACACTGCGATCCGAACGAGCAACGACGTGTTTGACGGCGACCTCTCGCTTCCGCTGGCCGCCTTCCAGGAGACGTCAACCGTGGCTGTTTACGACTTGTACTACGGCAAAGCCGTGCCCGCCACAGTGTCCGGGGCCACCGTCACCTTTCGTGGGCACATTGAAGAGTATGGCTACGCTGCGTACTATGTCGTGGCCGCTGGGAGCGAGCCAAAGTGGCTTCAAGCGTTCCTCGCGTCGATGCACGCGCGTACGACGACGCCACTCGCTGCCTACGACACGAGCCGCCCGCTCTTGCAGCAGCGCATGACGACGCAGTCGTCGGCCACGTCCATCGTCGTCGGCCCGGACGCATCCAGCACGTACGACCAGCGCGCGCCGGCGACGCTCAACGTCACGGAGCTCCTTCAACTGGTACGTACGTACCATCCATGGCAGTCGCAACAATGCGACGATACTATGTAGGTGCCGATCAACGGCACAAAGGCGTGGACGTTCCGCGTGGATGGTGTCCAGATCGAGCCCGTGCCCGCGTGGACACCGAATGGCAAAGAGTTTGGTGTCGGGGTCCAATTCCCTTGGGAAGACCGCCCGCGCCCCCACCACGCCACCGAGCTCTGGATCGAGGACTTTCAGATCATGAAGTACCCCGTGACGAACGCGCAGTACCACGCGTTCCTCGCGTCGTCCAAGTACGTACCGACGGACGTGGATCGCTTCCTCTTGCACTGGAGCGACCGCCTTCACAAGGATGGCTCGTACGCGCCCATTGCAGCGTGGTCGGTGCCGACAGCGGTCGCGTCGCAGCCCGTTGTGCACGTCTCGCTCGAAGATGCGCAGGCCTTTGCTGCCTACTACGGCCTGCGCTTGCCCCACGACTGGGAGTGGCAGTACGTCGCCTCCAACGGCGTCGCGTACAACAGCGTGCCGTACGGCGATGCGTTCGAGCCGTCCCGGCACCCACGTGTTCAGCGCCATGGTGACGTCATCGCCGCGGTCGACGTCGATGCGTACCCCGCCGGGTGCGCGACGGCATCGGACGTCTGCGCGCTCCTCGGACACGTGTGGCAAATGACCGACGCCTTCTGCGACGAGCGTACGTGCAGCGTCTTGGTGCGTGGTGGCAGCGCGTATGCGCCGGTCGCGTCGAGCCTCCGCGACCCCAACTGGTACTTTCCAGCGATCACGGCGAGCAACAAGCACGGCAAGTTCCTCACGCTGAGCCAAAGCTACGACCGCGCCGCCACGATCGGGTTCCGCTGCGCAATCTAAGAGCGACGACGACGTTGGTTGTCGACAACGTAATCAAAGATTACGCAGCGAATATGATGCACACTAGCTTGGACCAAACGCGTAATCGGGCAAAACCCTACCCCTGGTGCAGGCAGCGAAGTCGGTGCGAACGCGTGATGCTACGTGGCTCTGCCGCAAGCTTGGTCTCGTCATCAGCATGTCGCTTGCGACGAGAAGACGTTGACGCAGTGGGTACTAGCATCATCTCAACATCTCGACAGTGTCGCGCCATCCCCAAGCATGCTTCGGAAACCGCCTCGAGGTGTGCAAGCTTCTCGTCCCAGTCTTGGCATCACTGAATTCGAATGGGACCCACACCCGACTGGACACGATAGAGCTACAATGTGGACCAAGTGTTCATCAACTCTCTAGTTCTTCGTTGCACCAGCAGCCAACACGTGCGACGTCTGCTCGCTGCACAGATACTTGGCCGTATGTGTCAAGCCAAAGCGCCACGTAGCAAGTCACCAGGAGCGACCCACGATCTCTCTAATACCCACGCCGGAAGTTGGCCATTCCTTGGTTGGAGCTTCTTCGTAGCACTCGTTAAAGGCTCGTCTCGTTCGTCAAATGACTTGAGCGATACCTCCCGCCCTTCTTTACGTATGAGGGATTGATTGTACACTATTGTCTGACGTCACCGCCAAAGTGCAACCGTTATCCGGATATCCCGTCGGTATACGGAAAGCGGTGATTTTGGCTCCGACCGTGGCGATGTTTGTGCATCTCCACTCGTCGCCGCTGGTGGTGCGCCAGACCGCGAGCCTCCCAAAGCCGCTGAACCCGGCGCACCCGTTCAGCTTCAGCCTCGACCTCCAGCCGATCGAGATCCTCGACGTCAAGGAAGAGCGCCGCCTCCTCTTGCAGTGTCTGCAAGAATGCAACAAGCAAGTGTGCTGGCGCAGCGAAGTCGCCGACGTGCATACCTTCCGCAAGGTACAAGATGTCCGCATCCACGGGCGCCACGCTCAGGCGTGCAGTAGGTCATCTCGTACGGCTGCCGCGCGCTGCACTTTTCGGGCCACGGCGTGCCCGGCAAGGTCATCTTTGAAAATGGCACTTGCGAAGCGCACTTTTTATCGCAGCAAGAGCTCAAGACGCTGCTCCTCGCCGGCGTCCAGGGCACGTCGCCCGAGAACACAATGCGCCTCGTCTTTGTCAGCGCCTGCCACTCCGAGAGCGTCGCCGAGGCCTTTGTCTCGGCCGGCGTCCCGCACGTCGTTGTCGTGCCCAAGGAAGACAAGGTGCTCGACCAAAAGGCCATGGAGTTCTCCAAGGCCTTCTACACCGCGCTCTTGGCAGGCCACAGCGTCTACAAGGCTTTTGAAATCGGGTATAGCATCCATCCCGCGCCGTCGCCTCGATAAGGATTCATCCGATATGCACTAGGCAGGTCCAGGCCGACATTGTGTCGATCGCCGACCACCACCAGTCCAAGTTCAAGCTCCTCGGCAATGGCGACCATGCACGCAGCCACCTCTTTTCCGACCTTGCGCTCGGCAAGTACCAAGACTTGACGCCGCCGCTGCCGATCAACGAATGCGACGCGGTCGCCGAAGTGTTTGTTGGGCGGTCGATTGAAGTCCACGCATGTTACACGGCGCTCGTGGAAGGCGCGCGCATGGTGTGCCTCACGGGACCCGCGGGCATTGGCAAGACCGAAGTCGCTCTCCAGACGTGCCAGTATGCGACCGATAGGTACCTCTTTGCGCGCATCTTTTTTTTGCGCTTTGCCCTCGCGACGACGCCGTCGTCGCTGTCGCTGCGGCAATACCTCATGGGTCGGCTCGCCAAGAGCTTCAACGTGCCGCTCAGTGACGAGACCGATGTCGACAGCGACGAGGCGCTGGAAAAACTCACGGACCGCATCCGCGACAAGCTCGAATCGTCCGCGTCGTCGCAGTCGACCAAGTACCTCCTAGTCATGGACGGCTGCAACGCCCTCTTCCTAAACAAGGCGCTGGCCCCGGGACTGATGCCGCAACTCCGGTCCGTCATTTCCCAGGTACGATTCCACGAGGATATCGTCGTCTCGATGATCATGGGACTAGCTGCTACGCCGCGTGCGGTCACTGAGCTTGCTCCTCACGAGCGACTCGCGCCTCGGCGGCGGTACCGGTATGGACTGCGGCGTGGGCGAGCGCATCATCCCGATCGAGCACCTCCCGCCGATGGACGCCGCACTGCTCTTCACAGTGCGCGCGCCGCGGCGGCTGCAGATCCACGAAATGGGCGGCGACCTCCACGCGTTTAGCCGTGGCGTCGTCATGGACGCACTGGGTGGCCACCCGCGGACGATCTGCGCCGTACGTCGTCCATATGGTCTTTTCAAACTCGAGTAATAACGCCGAGTAGGTGGCCCAACTGCTTGAAGTCCGCGATTTGCAGCGCGACGAGCGCGAGTTTCTCCACTACCTCATCCCGTCGGTGATCGCAGGCCTCGACCCGAGCTCCAAGCAAGACTTGGCCAACGACTACTGCCCGCTTTTGCCGTATGGCCACGCACGGCACCCGCATGGGCTCGTCAAGTCGGCATCGAGCCGCGTCGCGTCGGCGCAAATGGACCCAACACCGTTGCGCAAGCACGGCTCGTTTCTCGACCGCCGGACCGACGCTGGTGGCACCGAGGTGGCGACCGGCGGCATGTCCCCCCAGCAGCTGCTCGTCTTTGCGGTCCGTCAGCACGCACGGGCCCACATCTCGTCACCAGAAGGCTGCGTTGTCTGGGCGCACGCCGTCGTCGAGTACGAAGCGTCGACGCCGCACGTCGACGGTCGGCGCACGACCGCTGTACCGTTTGAGCTTCTCGCGCAGCAAATCAGCCGCTTCTTTGCGTCCAAGGTGCGCCAGGCCGCCGTCGAGCGCCCGCTCTCGAGCCGCTGCATGGAGTTCCTTGCGTCCTCGTCGCTCATTTGGGGTACGCCTCTGACTTGTCTCGACCTCCTCCTCAACCTTGCATTAGGGGCCCCTGGCCGGTGTCCAAAAACAAAGGAAAATGCAGTCGACGTGGCCATGTTTGCGGCGTTCTGGAGCTGGTTTGAGCCGCTCATTGTGTGCATTCAAAAGACCAACGTGTGGGCGTTCAAGCACCCGCGCCTCCTCCACGGCTTCATCTCCAAAGAGGCGTCGAAAGCCATGCTCTTGGCGACGAACGCGCCGGGCACGTTCCTCTTGCGCTTCTCCGAGACGCGCCAGTCGTGCCTCGTGGTCGCGTACCTCACGGCGAGTCTCCGCGTCGAGTTTGTCCCGATCGAGTTCAACCCGATCTCGTCGACGTTTGAGATGCGCCTCCAAGACGAGAAGGCCCGCGTCGTGTACCCGTCGCTGTCGCAGCTCGTGCTCAGCATCCACGTGCTCACGTGCATTTACCCCAGCACGCCCAAGGCGCTCGTCTTCCACAAACCCGAGTTGGCGCAGCAATAATGAGACCCCAGCCTACTAGTACCCAGATCGTATATCGACGCAGCAACAGGTGGCTCAAAGAAAAGGTATAATGTTGTGGTTGTGGTGGTGGTTGGGGTTGGGGTTGATTTGCCGCTAATCACAAATTCACCATCGTAGCAAAGAGGCGGCGGATGGGAGTTCTAAAACTCGTACGATTCCCTTCGCCCGGACGGCTCTTCGTGCTCGCCAAAGTGCAGTTCGACCTGGGGGACATAAAACTGCTCCTTGGGCGGCGCGTGGTCCACACCCATGGTGGCCATGTCGCGCGACTCGCGGCGCGGCGGCGCAGCATGCGGCCCGAGCGAGTTGTTGTTGGTCATCGGCGGCGGCTGCTGCGAGTAGATGGGCGGGACGACCTGCGCCTGCGGGAACGCGTTGCCGTAGCCTTGTTGCGCGCGCGGCTGGTTGAGAAACGACGGGTTCTGGCGCGCGGTCGGGCCTTGGTTGAACGACGGATTCGCCCGCGCTGGGTAGCCCTTCTCCACGTCGGGCTGCAAGAACGAGTTGTTGTACCCCGGGCGCGGGTTGGGCATACCGCCGCCGTTGACGTTGCCGTCCTTAAAGTTGCCCGACGACGAGGTCGGGATCGGCTTGGCATACTCGACCGGATCGAGGTCGTCTTCCTCGTTTGTCCGGGACGACTTCTTCACCATGACAATCACTAGGACAGCGATCGCGACGAGCGCGACGCCACCGCCGACGACATACGGCCAGATCTTGTTGCCGCTGGACGAGCCGCCGTCCGTGCTGCCGCCAGTGCCATCGCCGCCTTTCGTCGACGGTGGCGGCGTTACTGTGTTTATTGTTGTCGTCGACGCGGCCGTCGTTGTCGGCGGCGCGGTCGTCGGCGCCGGCGTCGCCACCTTGGCACAGTCGATCACACCTGGAAAGTTCGGGCATTTGCCAGCGAGGTCATATGCGTAGCAGGCCGGCATGTCCTTGCCGTTGTTCTGGAAGCATGGCGACGAGTCGAGCGCAACGGCGCCGAGCGCAATGTTGCCGGCCTGGTTGCCGAGGATGCACTTGGGCGCAGCGCAGATGGACGAGTCGACGGCCGAGGCCACCGAGAGCGACAAGACAACTACAAGATGCATGCATGATGAGCCAGGAAGGCGACGAGCGAGCTGCCTACGCAGGACGAGCGCCTTCATCGCCGCGTGATAATCTCCACGAGATTGAGTTCTGCGTTGGTCTGGCTTGCGCGCCGTATCCGGATGCTGTGCCAGCACACTCGGGGTTTGTAGCGACTCAGACCGTGGGTCTGGTCGGGTGGCGTATCCGGATTGGCCGACGAAAAGGCCGGTCATTACGCACTCCACGCCAGTGATCGCTCCAAGGTGATTGGTTGAATTGAGTCAATCGCGCCGCTGATTGGCTCTGGTTTTATGTATGTTCAACTTCTCGCCGATCTGCGCAGACGCGCGCCATGTAACGCAGCCATATTCCACCCACAGTAGCTTTGCCAAGCTGCAGTCCGTCGTCGTCGTTGCTAGGTGGACTTGCTTCGTCATCAAGGACTTATAGTTATACAGCCGACTTGATGCAGAGCCATTGTCTAGTAGAAAGGACGAAGACGGATCTTGCCGCGCTTTTCGAAGCTTTGGACAATTTGTACACCGGTTGGTAGACAACTTGTAAGTTATTCTCTGCGACCCAAGTCAGCGGAGCAACTGTAAGTGCTTGTTGCCATATATTTGGACTTATTTCGTGCTTAGGAATTAACTACACTGGTTGATATTTACTAGAATTAGGATATGGTCTGTACAAAGGGGGTGGTGTCTGGAAGGCTTACAGCTCGATCGACGATTTCCGGTTGCGGGGCGACCGGTAGACGTCGGTCATTTGGCTGTCGCGCGACGCCATCGAGTCGTTGAACTCGTACGTGCTCTCCGCGAACGACGGCTCTTCGTATCGGAACGAAGCCACGGGCGCCGGTGGTGCACGGTACGGGCCTGGTGACGTCTGCATCGTCTGCGGGTAGTACTGCTGCGAGCTGTAGTTGGTCGTGTCGTATTGCTGCTGCTGCTGGTAGCGCGACATGGGCACGGCCGTGCCGCCAAAGCTGCGGTTGTTGCTGGTCGCGCCAAAGCTCGGCTGGTTGGCGTACGTGGGTGCCCCGCCAAAGCTGGTTTGGTTCGAGGCATACGCCGGCGTCACATTGTTGGAGGCATACCCAGGCGTCACATTGGCGTTGCTGTAACTGGGCGTCGCGTTGTAGCTCTGAGTGTTCGCGTAGGCGTAGGATGCTGCAGCCTTGGCGGCGGCTTCCTGGTTGGTGTA